ATTACATGACTCTACCTGTTTTTCCATTATTACTAAACCAATGATATCAAAATAATTTTTCTCAAATTACTTTCCATATCGAAGCTACATAATGGATAAAAATTCACAATTGTACTAATGCACGCCCGGGGGTCGAACGAACGGTCGTAAATATCAAAACTCGTTCCTAAAACAAAAAACAGGACACGAGCGCCATCCTTCACCCAAAGAATCTGACCCATATACCTACTTATAAGCCTAAAACTGTCTTGGTGGTATTTGCCGGGGAGCGATTTGAAAAATTCACGAAGAGCAACGAGAAGGGGGAGGGGAGTGAAGAACAGGGACTAGTTCCTCCGCCCGCGCCCCGCGCCGCACACGTGCCAACCTCGACCTTGAGACGCAACCATACATTTTAGTGCACTTGTCGCGAACGCGCGTTCCGCCACTGAATGTTGTTATGTATAACGTATTATTTCATTTCAAATTTTTGCGGAAAAATAATTCCTATTGTGTTTACTAAATATTATAAATTGGTAACAATCCTTTTGATGACAAATTTTTATAACAGTTTGATGAACATTTTTAACACCTTAATGTAAACAGCTTAAATGATTTGAGTTGCCTAACTTTTCATTGCCTACATACTAGGTAGGTATTACATAGTAGGTTTTATAGTAATTTTATTAAGCAGTTGTGTACAAATTACTTTAAAAATTACGTCATCGGTGCATTAGTGCGGTGCATGTAGGTAAGCATTGTATGAAGTAGCAATTTAATATTTAGTCCTTTGATTATATACTTGAAACAATCAAAGATTTAGTCATTGTAGTTTTAAAAGCGAATAGCATAGTTCGGTTTAAGTTATTTAACGATATGCAATTTTAAATTATAATAAGGCAAAATACTCAATATTGCATTTTAACTATACTAATTAATAGGTTGTTTGGACAGTCATTACGTTTTTTTCCAGTAGATGAGTTTACAATAATTTTTTTGGTTGGTATCAGAGGAGAAATGTCGAGAGCAAAAAGAAGGGAATATTCGAATCATATTTTACTCTTTTATTAAGGGGTAAAAATACAGTTCCAGAAATTCGACAATTAAAGGCGACGAAGACAACATAAAGGCATTGATAGATACAAACCGCCCAGTAACAATTTTGCTGAGGGGTTAAATTTGTTGAATTCAATTTGAATTGTTCTGTTCAACTTGAACTTGACCAGAATGATGCTACGTCACATTTAAGACTGCGATTTGCTTCTCAAACGTCAAGAATATGGTCCATTTTTAAAGCGAAATAATTACTGACTGCAAGAAATCTGTTGTTTTAAGCGCATGAGATGATCATGGAATAAAAAAGATGAACCAGCGCAATAATATATACCCTCCATATTCTCCAGATTAGACAGTTTTGGAATATTTCTTGTACCGGTCTATGCAAAATTTGTCGCACAGGTATACCTTTACTTCACACCAGGACATCAAATATCACTTGGACCAGCTTTTTACCAGCAAAGATGATTTATGAGGGTGGACTCGATCTCCTGGCCGGTATATCGCAAAAGAAATTGGACCAAAATGGAGAATATGTAATTTAATAATTTTTTTTATATATTCTAAAACGAAACGACTTCCCGAACAACTCACATAATTATTACTTTATTATCGGAGACTATGCTTCTTTAAATATCCCACTTGAATGCAATAAGTTTTTGTAAAACAATGTTCATTGTAAATTACTTTTAATAAGACAGTAGTATAAGTAACTTTACGGCGAACTATTTAAACAATCACTAAAAATATAGTACTTACATTTGGGCTGTCAATGTACAAACAGGTTTTTATAAAGATTAATAAATCATCTGACGCCTGACAATAGAGGTTGCTAGTTATGATATTTTTGTTCGGTGTGACGAATAGTTTTCTACATGTTTTTCCTTTTATGTATCGTGACGTAGATAAGTTAGTATCAACAAGTACAAGATAATATATATATATATATATTTGCAATGATATTTACACCACTAATCCACCGTAGGTGAACCATTTGTGGCATAACCGGATATTGTTTCCATGGACGAAATCGGACAGGACGGCCATGACGGCCATCATCAATTTTAACGTGGACTATAATTAAAAATTGATATCTTTTAATAAATTGATGAATAATACATATATTGAAGCGGCAAAAAATGTGGTTCCGTTTTTTCACCGTTTATAAACACGATAGCTAAACCAGTGGGTTCATTTAAACTACGTGATATGCTCTATCGACGCGAGGAATCGTTTGTGCACGTTTCGATGTTAATTTTAATGCGAAATATACTTACGTTGGCTTTTATCTCATTGTTGATCTGCGTGCAGCGAGTTCCTGCGAAGAAAAAAAAAATTATTTGTGCTATTCGTTTTTTTAGTGCTGTGACGAAAACTGGCTTTTAGGACACATTTATATTTTATATAATAATTAACAGGTTATTTAATAACAGGAACACACGCCGTACAGCGGGTTACGCACTTTTAGACATTTAAATGATTCTAATATTGGCACATGACAATAAAATTGAACGAGCAAAAAGTAGTATAGTATTCATAGCAAATGTTTTAACCGTACAGCGTTTGTTTCTTCGTCTTACAATCAATATGTCATATCAGTTTTCAAATTAGTACACAATATTTCTGGTATTAAAAGCGAAGTACCTATGTCGTAACTCATACAAAAACCAGTAAAACAAGTAGTTTTAAAGAATTGCTTGTCTTAAAATTTCCCTTTTGCTTTTTAAAAAAAATTGTTGGACTAATGTTAAATTAGAACCAAATGTACATAGTTCGTGCGATTTTTGTTACTTTAAAAATATGTATCTAAACTTATGCTTCGCTTAATGTTCTTTTGTCTGCTTTACTACCCCCGTTAGGTCGCTTGTCTTTACAAGTGACAGCTTTATCGGAAATGAAATTATTCGTTCTAACCGGCTCGCAAACCTTAGGTGACGCGAGATGCAAAAATACACAGGCTCTCGCAAACTTAGCTCAAACGCTGTGCAAATGTTTGAACGCGCGAGTCCTTGAAGAACCCTACCAAGTGACTCATAAGTATGGGTGACGCGCGATATTTTTTTCTTGCTGTATTCTACCACAATGCTTGATTTTATTATTCTTTAGGAACATGTTTTCAAGATTGTATATCAGATAGGAGCTAAGATGAAATTTTTAATTAAAAGTCATTGGCTAAAGCAGCTTATGTAAAAAAATCATCCTATTTTTTTAATATCTCCTTCTTAGTAATTTATAAGATCTATTGCTTTAACATAAAATTGTTAACATAATATAGGCTTTCACATCGCCATGTTCAGAGTAATTATTTATAACTAAACCGTAATTTGTAGCCCAAACAATCGGAAAGGTAAAACAAAACACTGAAGGAGACAAAGAAGTCAATTATTACTGCGTATATTTATTACAAATTTCAGGTCCAAATATAGAATGAACGATCGCTGGGTCTGGGAAGCTTTGCGTCATCTGCCCACGCTAGGGGGTGATTCGGGCAGGGGTTGGGGAAAGGGTGGGTAGGGGCGCGCATGCGCCGGCTTTAACGCCCACGTCTGAAAATGCCAAAGGGCACTCCCTGGGAAACCTGGATGCCTAGGACCCCGGGCGCTGCGCTAAATTGATTTACGCAGCCCGGTAGATTGCGTCAGCCACGCCGAGTTAGGTAAAACGTCAATCAAATATCTCGCTGTAGGTAACATTAATGCAATATCTGTGTGTTGGCAAGTTATGCAAATTACGGAATAAATGCGGCACAGACGAAGTCCAATGAAAATCATAAAATTGGGACTTACAACTTACTCAATTACTTTTTATTTTAGCCACGTTACAATTAGGACATAATTTTTAAATAACTATGTGAGACGATCGGCCTTGAACGGAATGGAAATCTGATATTGGCTGGTGTAGTGGTCATACGTAAGGACAGCTGTAATTATCGAATAAGTATCAAGTTCAATGTTACCATGTGATTCTGTGTTAGATGAGTAGCTAGTGTCCGGGTCTTTCCTTTTACCAGTCTCATGGTCTACTATGTAGTCTACGTCTCTTGGCTAGTTATATTTTGAGGATTCCAAAAAGGCGAAATTGTACCAGACGGTCTTGTTTCATAAATATCCAAGTATGTACTCGTAGGCCCGTAATGTAATTATGTATCGATATATGTTGGTATTGAATTTGACAGTATTTATTAATACTTATGATTGCAGTGTCATGATTTTATGATAGCTAAATGATTTCATTTGTTCATTGATAGAAGTTTAAGTAATAACTTTCTTTTTTGTGTGTTCTGTCTACCTTCATTAGAAAATGCTGACATTAATGGATCATCTATTTTTTTATTTAAGATATGGAAGGCTTATAGCTATATAAACCTAAATAGCCCTAAACTAGATGACTGACAGACAATAACAAGCCTACTAACTAGAGTAGTAGTAGAGTACTAATAGAGATTATAGTTAGATTTATTTTTATCTATCCCTATTATTATAGAGATGAGCAAACAAGTAATGTTTATAAGTGATATTTAACAGACTAGTTCACCTATATGTCTCACTTAAAAAAGTTAGGGCTTAAGCAAGCACCTTCTTGCCGAGAATACACTCGTTGTGAATGTTCTCATCTAGAGCTAGATTTCACCTAGATTGAAAAACAGCACAATTAGATCATCTAGTAGTTTCTATCAGCAGTCATTGAATTGAAGAATAGCAGCTTACTGGCCCGTAAGTATATTAAATTTTAAACTCTGTATTATCAATTAATTAGCTTATGCTACGTAGTCTGATAAAGCGTTATTACTGTCTGTATGGACGGCGTTTTAACCGTTCGATAAGATAGCAGAAATTAGTCATCAACTATGCACTGAGACAAGAAAGATAATATGTGTTCGGTAAAGATGTTTATTTAATAATAACAACGTAACGTGTTAGTAAAGTTTCATTTTGTTCAAACTTGATGATACTTTAATCCCCTTACACGAACGGGTCGTAGTTTACTGCATTTACCACCAGGGGATTGGTGTGCACTTCAGATCCCTGGGGGAACCGTTCTTGACTCGCAAAACGCACCTGAAGTTTCTGCAGCTGTGTTTGAGGAATATACGCGAAAGACATGCAAGTGTAGGATATTATGGGTCTATTTCAGAGTTCGTTGGAGTATAGAGTCGGTTGATACGAACATGGTTCTTTTGTTGCTCTTATGTTTGTATTAAATGACATTTTGGAGTGGAAAATGACCCCAAGGTATTTGCCCTACTTCTCCTAAGGGATAGGTTGTCCGTACGGTAATTTGATCAAGCTTCCTTTTGGGTGACTTCGGGGTTTTCGCTTGTGTAGAGGGAGGGATAAAGAGACAAAAGCCTTGCATCACCGCGAGCGGATGGCTCGCAGAATAAGTGTACTTCACTCTGTATCGAAAAGATCAATTCTATTGATTTCGGTTCGAATGCTCTGCACGTCTCGAACCATCGTACCATACCTTTTCGAAAGCCTACACGACATAGAAGAAGAGTTAGGGAAGTTATTAAGAAGAGAAGTTGAGAAGTTATTAAGGCTTTTAAAGATATTCTTGTTGCCAATGCCGATGACTAAGGCCTTTTTCCAGGCGTCCGTAGTAGCAGTAGGCGAGAAACACGTTGAAAATTATCGCCGGTACTAGATAGAAGAAGGTAGGCCTGGGGAGGACCTGGAGACGTTTCAGTTTTTAATTGTCTTTGGCCTTTTGTGGGGTCCAATGTGGAATTTCACTAGTGTCGGATCCGAGATGAGAAGTTGGATTGCTTGAGCATACAGATTTAAAAGCCAGCACCCGGATACTGTGCTACCATTATGTTATGTAAAGTATCAGCCTATACATGTCCCACTGCTGGGAAAGGCCTCTGTAGAGAGGGTATCAGGTCCACCATGCGGCCCCAACGCGGATGGGCGGACTTCACATATTTTCGAAATAGTTGTTTTTTTTTATTATTTCGAAAATATGCAGGTTTCCTCGCGATGTTTTCCTTCACCGCTGAGCACGTGATAATTCGGCACTTAAAATTAACAATTTCATTGGTGCCGGCACCGGGGATAGAACTCAGGTTGCTCAAATATATTGAATTAAAGGCGAGCGCCCGGACACTGAGCTATCACGGTACAGCCTACAGTCAACACGGTACATCCTGAGTACATTATTTTGTGTATTGAAGTTTAATTAAAAATGATATATGACATGCATGAAAAAATAGCTTTTTTGTAGAATGATAGCAAATATATAGTAATAGTATTGCAATAATTTTATATCATACATATTAACAATAAAATATTACAATTACGGACTGCTTATTTGTACTGTATAAAAGGCAAGTGGATTTTTATACCAATGTAAAAAAAATTTTTTACTTTTTGAATATTATTCTGAGAAAAATCAGTCTAAAGATCTGTATAACATTATGTAATAATGTATGTATTTAATTATTTTAAATTAGTATTATCCAATTTTTAGAACACATCGAGAAACAGTTTAATATAATATGTATGTAAATTTCAAATACATACTATAACTACAAACCATCAAATACAATCATTACTTCCGGACGTGTTAGTCAGAAGGAATGATTGTCTATCCAAGTGACAATTGTGTATATGACAAAGCCTATATATGTATATCAGATGGAGTGACGACCGGTCCAAGTGTGCGGGAAGTCGATGGATGCAGATGTCTCAGGATCATGTTTTGTGGCATTATGTGAGGGGGCCTAATTGCAGCAGTAGACTAACAGACTGAAATGATAATGATGATAATAATAAAAGCGGTAAAAAGCTGGCATTGAGCCATTGCCGCAAGATCATCAAGTCAAGAAGTGAATCGCCATTTTGAGACGAATGAGCGTACAAGCGCGCCGGAGCCATACCGACTCCATAAAACGGCCCGTTTTAAACTCGAAGCCAAGGCGCGGATGACTAAAACAGAAATAAATGAGTATGCTGGCAGCGCTGTTACTAGGCGCGTTCAAGGTCTTCCCGACCCTGGCCCTGTCCCCCACCCACCTCCCCCCGCCGCGCATGTGCAACGCGCAAGCTGCATTCGTCGACGCACACTAGCGAAGCGTCATATGCCGACGCAAAATGGCGCTCGAACGGTCGCGTCTGTGTGCGCAAGATGGCCGATTTATAATGGATATTCTTGGTTAAGTACGTACATAGACGCGCGATGAGAATGCCTGTGCGACTGCTTGCGCGTACGTGTTCGTTATTGATGTCCGACGATTAAGAGCTAACAAGATGTGGAAACTGCCGCGTTACGCAATATCCGCGCAGTGCACGCATGCGCGCCCTGTCAGTTTCTACGTTGCATTCCAGATCTATGGATTTTAGAGTTTTAAATTTCCCGTACACAATCACAATTATCATTCCAAAGTTGAAAATAAGTTTCAACTTTGGAATGATGGTCATGATGCCTATCAATTCAGGTAGTCATGTCATGCTCATTTATTTGAGAGACAAAATGCGCATAGCGGTACTATTGTCTGTCTACTTTCACGACTTAACTTGGCTCTAACAAGGTAAAAAAAGTTTTCTCGATATTAAATAACAAACGAGACATCTGACGAACCTAGCTGCCCTATATCAAGTATATGTTGATTTTCATTATCAACTTATATATGCTTTGAAAGATGTACCTAATGTCATTTAAAATATAGTACCTACCTGGAAGACCGGTTTTTTTTGGTAAATCATGTATTATGGAAATAAAAAAAGTAAAAAATAAAGAAAATGATCTGGTATAGAAAAAAAAATAAGTGTGTAAATGATCGTGATACGAACCGCGGCCGTTCGTTTTGGGGCCGCCCGATTACCGACTGAGCTATTAAAACATTTTTTTTGCGGCGAAATTTACTGTCATATTCGAATGATATTTTTCATCCCTGAAAACAGGGATAAAAGGATATTTTCTAAAAACGAAACCTAGCTAGACCGATTTTTCGCCCCCGAACCTACGCACACTTTAAATTTCATGAAAACCAAGAATTGCTCGTTTAAAGGATACGAGATACTCGTACTACGCTGATAACCGAAAAACAAAAGTCCCAGGGAAACCCCACGGAAGTATGAGCTCATGCTCGATTGCTGGTATATACCACTCTACTTAATGGATTCATTAAGTAGAGTGGTATACAAAGCTGGGCGCAAAAAATATAGATAAATCAGTTTTCTTCCAGATAAAGTTGAAATCTGAAAAAATAGACATATGCCATCACCATTTTTTTTAAACTTGCTCAAGACGAACATCACCATTTAATTTAATTTAACAATTATCATAACCACATTATTTCTGTAGAACTTAAATATTGAGGAAGTACGCTCTGTAGAACCCTCTCACGTTATTGTGTTAATGTAAAGTAAGATTATAATATATAGAAATATTTCTAAAAATAGCAGGTATATAATAGGGTAATATCTTTCCACATTCACCACATTGCGTATAATTGTGTAATGTCGTAATCCAATTATTCAAAAAAAAAAACATTGAATTCAGCGTCATCCAAATATTTAAAAAAAATTGATACCTGTAATTCAATTCACATTTTTAAATAACACATTTCACCTAAATCCAAAATTATCAAAGTGGATGGATGTTTTTTTTATTGTTGGACGATGTTTCTGCGATGAGGACCATAACTCACATTATTTTTTCATTTCACTTAGAAAGTCTTTAAATAAATCATAATTATAATTGAATTATTATCTACAATGTTTTAAATTACTATTAAAATGTTGCGTGGAACTATTTCCAAATACGTATAAGATATGTTTTATTTTAAATTATACGTGATAAAATGTGTTAATTAATAAACTATATTTCCTAAAAGGTATAAAATATTTTTATGTATATTGGTAGTTCTTAAGCGCCATAAAAAAACAAGGAAAAAAGAATGAAAGGAATTTTTTTAACTATTTTTAGAAAAATTAGGTAATTAATATTAAGAAATAAATAAATTTACCAGAAAAAGGACGCATACAACAAAAAAATAAAAGAAATATTTTTTTAGTAATACGTATTACTATATTAGTAATACGTACTAAAGAAAACCAAAACAAAATCAAGACATAAATATTACTTATTGTATTCATATTTAAAAATGATGTTTGAAAAATGTGCTCTAAGGAAACGGCTTTTTCACACCGCGAACTTATACCGGAAATTAAAATAAATTTTATTTTTCCTGTAAATATCTCCCCTACCCAGGGAAATATCTCCCCTACCTCCATTTATCTAATATGGAAAAATTTTGTACTTAAATTGCTAAATATTACCTATAAAAATTTGTAAACGATGTGAAGTCTCCAATGGTTACTGACAGGAATAGTAAGTATATAACTACATATTTTCGTATACACCTCTGTAATAATATAAAAGAGAGGGTGCGGCTCTACGTAATAAACAAGTATTAAAAAAAATTCTATCCAACTACCTGGATTCGTGTCCTTGCTGTGATTCGCCAGAAAAAGCACCAAAAGACTTATCATAAAAGCGTTGTCTTTTTCCTTTTACAATATATTGCACGTGTTCATTCGTTGGTTGATACTGTGACTAACGTGCGCGTTGTAAATAAACATAAGCGGTCGGCCATATTGGCCGCCATGTTGGTGACGAGTCGTCAATCCGAGCGTGACGCGTCCGTCAGCTGATACTGTTGATAGTGATTCGCGGAGCACGACACTCGGAAACATGTTTTATAATTTCCCGAGAAATATGCTCCTCTACAAACAATACGAAATGAATGTCAAATCGGAGAAGACTTATTCCATAAACAAGGCCTCCCATTATGCACGATTAAAATGGAAATAGGTTTTATACACAAGGCTGGCATCGTTTTTGGAGTTAACGACTAAGAACACGCGTTATGACGTTTACATAAAATGCTATGAGATCTAGTTTATATTTAAGAAATTAACATGTCAACATACGGGTCTACTATTAAATGCTTAAAAATTCTTAATATGGACACTGCCATTCCTTCTCACTAGTATTTTTCACTGAGTAGTGCTTTTTATAACGAATATTTTTAATAATAAAAATATAATAGTGTTGATAATCATTATAAACAAAACTACTTTAAATGTGATTGTAGGTATGTGCGTTGTAGACTCGTGGTCGCGGGTTCAAGGCGAGACATTAATGTGGGAGGATCCGCACAAAGCTTATGATACAAATTATTATCACGTTTAACAAATACAAGGCATACTCCAAGGTTTAGCATTCAGCGTTCACGTGTGTGGCGTCAGAGCAACACCGTTAATAACTTGATCCTCCGATCCGAACCTTAGTACCCATTCGTTCCTCAAAGGTCGGCAACGCATTTGTGGCTCCTCTGGTGTTGCGAGTGCCCATGAGTGGCGTTCAACGCTTACCATCAGGTAAGGCATAAAGACGTGGGTTCAATTCACACAGCGGCGACAATCTTTTCGTATTTTTTACTATATCTACGTCTACAAATTTTAAACTATGAAAACGGCAAAAAAATCACGTCTTTTGTATGAGATGGCCCACTAAAATTTATTTATCGTTTTTTTAGTATTTATTGTTATGATGGCAACAAAAATACATCATCTGTGAAAATTTCAACAACTTCGTGACAGAAGGACAGACAGCGGAGTCTTAGTAATAATAGGTCACTAAAAATGAACTAATCTTACAGTTAATGAAGGATATATTCACAGACTTTTGTTTTAAGCTTCTTTGGAATCAAACCTTAATCCTTCCACCATATTGGTATATCAGTGATGCGTTATATAATCTTCTTTTATTTACTGTGACCAAGAAGCCTCAAGTGATATGTAGGTTTAATAAGAATTAATGTTGAAAATTGGCGTAGTGATTAACAACAGATCTGTTACACGCTAACATAAAACTGTGTCCGTTCACGCTTTACATTTTAAAGAAATGTACTCGGACTCGTCTTGTATATAGCGTGTCGTTACAACCGCGACAATAAATGACACACATATAAAGGATAACTTTTTAAAATTGTATTAAAGATTTACATTATTTAAACATTAATATTTACCGAGTTATTAAATTTTCCAAAACAAACAATTTTAAAATAACGTTAAGTTCATTTGTAAAGGTCACAAAGCATATGAATGGGTTGAATGAATTTAAAAGAGATAAAACATACTGTTAGAAGGAGAGAATTGTAATGCGACGCTGTGGTAACGAATGAAAAAGTCTCTGAATGTATGAATCAGTCAGTTGTAGTTGTATAGGATGTAGCAAATTTTGTTTCTTTTTTATTTAATTAGTTTTGTTGGAAAAATATATTTTTTTAGCTATGGATTTTTTTAACGTTTATATTTTTTATGATTATTGGCAAGTATCGTTAGACGTGTGTTCATTTATTGTCGCGGTTGTAACGACACGCTGTATATGATCGCAGAACTCCGTGGAACCGATGTAAAAATTAAATTTTCAATATAAAATTACTTTTGCATTGAGTTCGGATTAACCCGTAGTAATTACTTTGGTATTGGATCTTACAGTCCGGATATATTTCAGGGAACTCCGCAAAATGAAATAGAAAGCGATGAGTATTTGAAGTCAGTTTTTTTCTGTTAGTAAAAATGTTTAAGAATAAATATTAGATAGAAGCTACTCATATTGGTATTGAGGCGTAAGATCCACACCAGCGCTGGCCTGAGGGTAGAGCAAGAGGATCGGTCGCTCTAGGCGCCAGGAAGCAACAGGCGTAAGAATTAAATGCAAAAAACTATTTTAACATAAAATAGAAATTTAATGTCGCCTTTAAAAGCGGGGCAGTTTTAGTTTATAACAACAAATATGAATTAAATTATGTTCCTTAAAAGCAAGATTGAAACAATTAGAAACTGTTTTTATGAATTAAGATCAATTACGTTTTACTTCAATTAGATATGATAAAACCTACATAGATAACAGATTTTAATGTTACGTGACTATTTGAAATTAAAAATGTAAGTTAAAGAAACGGCGGTATAATAAATACAGCTACTTGATTTAATTAATTTGTCAGCCATTACTATCTGCCCATGTTATTCTAAACTAATATTTCGTAGTTTCCTTCTAAATTTACATTGCCTTAGTTGTAAAAAAAAGTAAAATACTTCAAATGCATTCATTAAAAAGAGAAAAAAAACTACTCATCGGTATTCTTGATTACGTTAAAATACACTACAGGTGTGAATCGGAACATAAATAGAAACAAATTACATCATTAGCGCATATATCAATACTTAATAGGACCTATTTACACACTGCAGCGTCTGCCTTAAGTCTTAAATGTTTGGTATTTCGTTGTTTATGGTTTCTAATACAGTTAATGTGAATACTACATATTAAAGATAAAAGACTTCAATAAAAAATACATTCTGAATAATTTACAGATAAACAATGATCCTATACTATTGAACCTAAGAATTAGGAAAATATCAAACACAGCGTCCAAAATTCTAGCATTTTATGATTTTAGAATTATTCTATTAAGGGACTAATTATTTAATCCCCAGGGGATTAATAAAATGAAAAAAATCCATACGCTTAATAAATTGGACATTTTGCTTTTACTTAAGTAAATTTTTGGGATAAAACGGCTAAAACATGGACTATCATTAAAGTTGTATAAATAAGACAATTTTTGTGAATTGTTTAACATATTACACTTTATAAACATTTACCTGGGACTCACAATAAATTTTTTTTTCTGAAAACTTTACGGTGTTAGTGGTAAGATTTTTTGGACGGTGTAACAATCGACTGTAAAAAGAACGTTTGAAATCAATTTGATTGCTCTTTCTGACTATTGTTTATTATCACAGGTTCTTGAAGTATAATTTTGATTATTTAGTCGATAATGAATATAAAATATCTTTTTGTTTCTGCTTAAAAAAGTATAGTGCGGTTTAGAGACTTGATATTTACATGGCAGCCGAGTCGCCGCCATGCAGAACGTCGCTTAGTTGGAGCTCGCATAACTAGCAACGAGCACGTCGACAGGCTAGGATCACCCGATCGCCTTGAACTCACAAGTTCGACATTTTTTGCCGACGCAACAACAGGATACGCTGACTTCGTTCGAAGCGCGGTCCCTTAGTCGTTTTGTTGGTGCCCTTGATTCGCAGTTGAGATTTGGGAGCCATGTTGGAATTCGAAACTCAAATGGCGACTTTTGAATTTGGAACATTTGCTGTTTTTCTAAACGTTTTCACGGGCTGTTATTTCCAACTCGTAATTGAAAGTAAAAAAAAAGGAAGTGTTCAAAGGTCATGACGTACGATTTTATTCAAATGATTGCTGAGAGAATTTAAAAATTCTATAGAGTTTAATTGTAACATTTCCAAGTGAGCTTAATAAATAATAAAAAAAATTATTGGAAAAATATTATAAGTTCTTGCATTCCTCTACAAATAGAAGGCCTTCGCATATTTTCAAATTTAGATTTACACGTTACATGCATTTTTCTAGGTGCGATTTGGAAATATGAGCTAATTATAACCATTACAAGGTTCAATTTAGGCGAAAACAATGATAATACTCCTATTTCTAGGATTTTTTAAAGTAAAACAGATGTCCGATGAGTAAATACATTTTATGATTTCGCCTTTTATATATTTTGGTAAAAATTCAAGTTGTATGAATTATTGTGGTTCAATGTTTGAAATTCAAAAAGGCAGACTAATTGTACCTTTAATAGACAACTAGCATATGAAATATTGATACAAAGCTTAATCGGTTCTGGTGCCTTTACATTTCAACAGAAAATTGACTCATAAACATATCCTTTAGATAAGATGATTTTGAGTATGTGTAATTAAGAACGTAAAATCTATTACGTTATTAACTGTGTAAATTGACAATAGACGAAAGTACAGTAGACTCCAGCAAGGCAATGTTTTATATTTGACGCAGCTCTCAGCATCTTTGTTATAACTATGGCTGGCTGCTTCTTAAGTCTGTCTCTAATTAATCTGTCACTGATGGTTTTCCTCGAACCATCTCACTTGTCGTAATTATCACCGCATACACAGAAGTCATTGAAAATGAGAAAACAGTGGAGTTGTGTGGCTGTCAAAACAATTATTGAGGCGAATTATTGCTAGCACTTACCGGACGGGGCGGTACGTTTAAGGAAACATTGCATAATCTTTGACTACGTTCGACGCGCTGCCGTCATCGCAATTCACATGGTGTTACACCGTTACAGTGACACGTCGAGTTCGCCAGCTACGGGCACACCGCACGTATCGATGAGCGGGTCTCGTGCAGACCGTGGGCTGCTGGCGGAATCGTTCGTTTTGCGGGGGCGTTTTGCGTGCGGGCGTTGCTCGTGAGCGGTGTGCAGCGCGGTCGCCGGCGAGGCACTGACGGCCGAGCCACGGCCGGCGGCCGCTCCTGCATTGCGGCGCGCAGCCGCACTCGCGCGCGCATGACCTTGGCATTGAACTTGGCAATGGGCAGGCGCGGCGCGATCCCCTCCCGGCGGGGGGACGCAATGCACCGGCATCTGCACCGCCCCTAGCCCCGCGCCCTTCCGCCTCGCCCCAGCTATGCCCGCCGCCCGGCTCAACCCTTTTCGTTCTACGCAACTGAAATATTCCGACGCGAAGATTCCGAACCATATTATGCTTTTGAGTAAAACGACCACGATACGATGCAAGCTCATAATATATTTTAAGAATAGGAGAGGTGTATTTTTGCACCCGGAATCTAATCGCGTGGCTACCTAAGGAGGTGTAATGTGAACCGGCAAATTTCCTGATAACGTGAGCGCTGGTGTCGGATGACGCGTATAAAGGTATCTCGTTCACCTGAGTTGAACGCCACAAATAGGCAGTGAGCGCTACCCATTGAAACAGAACGATTATACTCAAAACCCTTTAATTAATCTGTATCCATAACAACGAAATTCGAGGACTGGCGAATTCCCTATCTATTGAGCTGTTACAAAATGAGTTGCGTGGGTGGCGGGTGGTCTTCCTACACGTGCCGACGGGGAGTTCGCCGATGGGTGGATGGAGGCTAAGTTTGGAGATCGATGTGGAGTCGCGCATGCGTACCTCCGACCCGACTGTTGCTGGCTAGCCCGGCCTTTATTAAGCGCGAATTACGAATAAAATTATCGCGTTGCACTATGCACGCGACTGTTTGCGGTTTACACTAAACTCTTTACAACGTGTTAATAAAAGGATAGTAATAATTAAAACGATGAATTTAGATGGTAACACAACAAGAGCTTTAGTGCCCGAGGTTTTACTGCAAAGTACCTTCTGTGACCGTGAAAATTTGTAGCTGATTCAACAATTTTCTTAAATATTTTTAGAATATTGTAGGTATCTTTTAATTAAAAAGTACAATAAAACAGGTTTGGAAAAGTTATATTGGTTTTTATAAGCAACACTGATCATGATTGAGACTTATAACTGAAATTATTTCCCGAGAAATTGTAAAGACCACACTCCTCTAGGTTTCGAAATATCAATTATTATGAAATGTAAAAAGCAGACTAATATCAAATACGATCCAAAAAAACTTGATGGAGCTTTAAAAGTCTACGGACTGAAAACAAAACTTTAGTCAAAGTAAAGAAATATCAATTACGAATACCTAAAAATTCTGTATTATTTTCTGTTCTTAGGAATATTTAACTTTGATGAAGAGGATTTTTTGTGAAAATGGTAGTTAAATGTATACGCACAATATAATTTTATTTAATTTCAAATTAAATACCGTTATTGCGAAATTTACATTTTACTATGAGACTATTCGGACCATATTGCTTGAAAAAATATGGGAAATAAAAATGTATTACGGAGATGAAATGAGTAAAAGCGAATCACAAGTCGATATAGACTCGCTTTCTTTACAATATCGTCTGCGAGTGTGGGAGGTTGTGCCCCACCCTGTTACTCAACTGCCATAACGCTTCTAGTTGAATAATGGCGCTTTAGGGGTTTCGTAGTATTGAATTTGTCTTGTTATAGAAATGGTTCTCACCTATAAGTAAATGAAGGACACTTATATGACTCAAAAATATTATATTCTTTTTTTTTTATAAAGTAGCCTTTAATGTTAATGAATTGAAATTTTTTATAAAAATCTTTGTACCGTGGGTAGCATCAAAAATATTATCTTTTATATTTTTGATCACTTACAAATATTATTTCTATATATTGATTAGCGGACCGGACAGACATTGTCCTGTACACACGACTTAAATCGGATAACATAAAAAAAGTTTGTGAATCTAAACCATTCTCGAATAGACCTGAACACCCAAAAAATCATTAAAATTGGTCCAGCCGTTTAGGAGTTCAGTGACATACACACGTACAGAAGAATTATATATATAAAGATATGAACGTTACCCATTTTACCGAGTCTAATACTACCATCGTGTTTAAAAGGTTTAATAAGATGAAACGTCCATATATTAAGTTGTATGAATAATTCGTGGAACCTAGTACTCTTTTAATTTAAACAACATTGTCGGTATGTGTATCTCGGTTACATCAAAGACACGTAGACAGCCTACGAAGTGCAGCTTTGGAGGGTAATAAAACTAAAGCGAGGACACTAACCTATATTTCATGTCTAACCTACTTTTATTTAAGTTTCACGATCAAATAATTTGTCGATTCAAGAGTTTAGGTAATTACTAATAACCTAGCAAATATTGAACTTTTTTCAGATTGATGAGGATTATTTTCGTTTGTTGAAACCAATTATATAATAATTTAGCTGGATCGGAACAAAATTAATAAAAGGAAATTGAAAAAATAAGAAAAAATATTTCCAAAAAGTGACAACCTTTTACACTTTTTGGAAATTGGCAACGCATCTGCAAACCCTCGGGTGTAGCAGATGTCTATGGGCGGCGGTATTCACTTAACATCAGGTGAACCGTCTGCTCGTTTGGCAACTTTTCACATAAAAAAAATTGAAAAAACCGGCCAGGTGCGAGTCGCACGCAAGGCTCCGTACCATTATGTATAAAAACGGCAAAAAAAATCAGTCTGTTGGAGCCCCATTTAAATGACTTTATTTCGCTTTATTCCGTTTTATTGTATTTATTCTTATAGTGGCAACAGAAATACATCATCTGTGAAAATTTCATCTGTCTAACTATCACGGTTCACGAGATACAGACTGGTGAGAGACGGACAGACAGACAGCGGAGTCTTACTAATAGGGTCCGTTTGGTCCGTCCCTTTGGGTACGGAACCCCTAAAAAGCAGCAAAATTATAACACACTTCACCGTTGCATCATAATTATCGATTTTCGATTGTTTTCTACTTAATTTAACTGAAAACGCTGTGTACAGTACTCAATCGCGCGTCAAGTAATTTTCCACTAACGAGTAATTTTTCATATAGCTTTTTCAGTGGTGTACTTAAATGGAAAAGAATAATTATTATACGTATTTTTAGTGTTCGTTATTCGTTAAGTTGATTTAGATGAATAATATATAAAGGTCTGTCTTGTTTTGGTAAAATTATAAGATAGCAGCAAAGGTACAATAATGCACAAGAAGACATTTTATGTATTTTCTTAGAGAAAAGTAAACTGCTGCTATACCCTTTTCCATGCTATAGATTTATAATTCGGTGATAAAATTCTGTCATACTTATGAAATTTTTTAAACTCCATAAAATCAACTAGCAATATGGCAGTGTCCTGGAAATAGCAGGAAATCATAACTATTCTTCAACCCGAAAAATTTCCTACTGAGGTAATATCGTACAGACCTATAGCAATATCATCCGTAATAAGAAGTTTGCAGAGTATTTAACGAAAAAATGCTTGTTCAGAAAATGTCCTGTAACTGACTGATTGTACAGGCTAAGCTGTCCGTTCCCAAACTAAGCTAAGCAAGGAAAGAGGTTTAAAGCCCAACAGCTCAACGCAACAGCTCAACGTTCGCTCAAAGGCCATTTTCTGCTTAGTTGAACAAAGAGAGCTATATAACAAAGTCGTGCAACACAGTTGTACTAAAACCTCTTCATTTGATTAAGACAATGTTTGGTTTTGGACAACTCGACACGGCGTCACCTTTGACTAGGGCGTTTTCACAAATGCCAACAAATTTTCCCGAATTGTACTATTAGCATCCTGTATTTTAGCAATCCCATCGTATGGGTGTGTCAGCATTAACTAAATACCATTTTTGAAAACTTTCGATATCAATTATAATTCCAAAAAGGAAAAGGAGCTGCGAGGCAAGCGCCTCGGGCAACCTACAGCATTTTGTTTGTATCTAACTGTACAAAAATCTAACACATAATGCAGTCGACGTGATCTTTGCAATAAATATTTAAAAAAAAAAGTTTTATATTTAAAGAATTTTTAATACGTTTATTTATTTATGTACAAGATACCTAAAACTTAAAAGTCACTGCTTATTTCAACATGAAATATTTAACATCAGTCCTGGAAGGCGGAAAATTTAAAATATGATGGCAATTGGTGTGTACTAGAAATATATAATAAAAATAATTTAAATGTATAACAATACATATTATGTCTGTAGACAGTAACTACAAAGATAGATATTCTTTTAAATGTTTTTTAAGGAAAAAGTGTTGTAGCATATATGTATATGGAATTCAAGAGATAGCAATTTATTCACGGTCTTTTAACGTAAAACTCACGTCTCTGTTTTTTTTTAAAAACGTTGTTGGATTACGTTTTTGTTACTTGATGTTTTCCCTTCAACCAACCATCGAACGTGACGGCGTAGCGCAGCAAAGAGCAAAACATTGCAAAGAGATATATTTTTATAAAGTTAAACACTTTATACTTTGGAAACATTTCATATCGTTTCCTACACTTGGAAATGGTCAGCCGGCAAACATTGCGAACGCTTATAAAGCGTACAAAGGTAACAGGGTACATGGGTGATGTAGAATTTAAAACAACGTCATCCCATCCAGCGGGCGGTAGCGGGGGGGTGGGGGTGGGTGGCGCGGGGCGTCGGCGCCCTTGTCCTTGCGGCAATCGATATGCGCACGTCCAGACTGCTCATGCTCAGCTGCTGCTACATAAACACCTAGCCTTGGAGCCGCCCGCACTCCCCAGTTCCAATCGCTCCCATAATTAAACAGACGACGATGTGCAAATCAAATTTGGACTTGTCACAGGCCATCTTGCCAACTAGACCTGCCAAACAGAGCTGAAGCCGTACCGGTCTTCGCAATCAAGCAGTAAAGCAGTTATGGTAATGTCTCGTTTTGCCAAATCTTGAGGTTCCTTGCGGCGCGCGAACGAAAGCTTCGCCAGTCGACGCTATTTTCGTGTTGATTTCAATCGTATTTCAGGGCGACAATTTTACTTTTTATTGTTTGTCCTAGACAGTTAACAGTTACTGGCTTCTACTTATTATCAACCTTGCTAAGATTAAAGTAGCGTATGAGATGTGCGTACTCCGGCCAAATAAGAAGTATACAAAAATTTTTATTAGTTTCACTATTTACCTACTTCTTGACATGCTCTTCGGTAGACGAAACAGTAAAGAAATTGCAATTTAAATTCCTAACTATAATGAAAGGTTCCTTATAGGTAGTAATTTAAACCATAATTTACTTTAATAAAATTGCTGTTTTGAGGTAGACACTAGAGAGAATATGACAAATAAGAATAAACATCCGTTGAATGTTTTGGGATGTTATAAATCAAAGATAGATCTAGGCATAGCAATTGATTGATTTGAAAGCAGTGAATAATATAATAGCACTCATTTTGTCAATAAACTTAATCACTGCGCGCTGCACCGAATTTCCAGTTTCCGTTAACATAGTGATGTGTGTTCCAGAGATGAAGTACTAATGAAACATATTTGAAAAAGGGTGTTATTTCTACTACTAGCAATTCATTGCTCAACTTACTTACGCATCTTCTGGTTAAGGATATTGCTATACCCTTAACCAGATGATGCGTCAGATAGGCCGAGAAATTATCAGGCGCCTAGGAAGATCAAGATCAATATTTTTTCAATAGCGGGAATCGAATCCACTGTCAACACTCTATGGCGCAAGAGACAGGTTATTAATTAATACACCCATCAGTTCGCCAGTAAGACATGATCGTTATGGACTTCATGACCATCATGAACCATGGTACTCTTCAGGACGAGCCTATACACACGTGAAACAGAAAATGCTACTGCGTATTTGATATAAACAAGATAATACACATAATGGTGGTAAAATATTTTATTACACGGTAACGTGATAGCGCTTCATCTCGGCCCCAAACCATAAGTGACGCCATAGCGAGTCGCTCATTCGCGAGACGCAGAAAAACAGTCAGTCACATGTCGACAAAAAAAATACCAAGGAGTCGTAAAAACTACGCTCTATTCAGCACCAATTATACAGAAGACGTATTCATTTAAAGAGAAATATGGTTAAATTATTGTTCGATTTTTTTTTAATCAATGAAGGCAGGCAACGGAGTGTTTGCTTATCAAGATAAAAATAAAATAAATGTTTCCAAATGTTGTCACGAAAACAATCTGAGAATATCGAGGTCTACGTATGACTCGCATGTTATAAATATTTGCACATAACAATTGATTTAATTTACAGACCGAATAATTTTTTATTGTTTTTATAGGATATCTTGTACTATATATGGAATTGTTATTATAGCCTATATCTGCGTAAAAATCGAGAATATTTCGTAATAAAAAATATTTAATAATAGAGAAAATAAAAATAAAACAGAATTAGGAACAAATGAAGACTAGACACGTTTTTTTAATTCGGCCACAGACAAGGCTCTAGACCCTGACAAAAAGAAGTCGCTGTAGGCACCAGTTTCGTTTCGAATATGAAACTTTAATACGGGTGAACGACCTACAGTAATTACATTTCTGCGAATCACTACTAGGTTTGAATCGTAATACTGAAAGCCTTATGTCTACTTTGGTAACGGCAAGCACTGAAACTTTAGTTGAAGGGCGAATGTTGAAGGAAATAGAATGATAAAGTGATTTGGGAAAAATCTAAACATTGTTACTGTACAATTTTACTGGTTATCAGTTTGACGAGCCAGATAAAATGAAATAAGGTGGCAAATACGGGTAGCAGTAGAATCTGTCGTCGATTAGAAATGTGAAATGTGACAATTGAAGTATAATTTTTTCACATTTTCCGTTCTTTTCGGAAAACCTTTAATTATTCAAAAAAGTGAAACAACTATTATAACGTTATTTTGTTGATGATGAAACTTACAAAAGACAGCTTTAATTTATACAGATAAATAAAATTGGGGTGGATGTATACAGGGTACATTTACCAAAATGGCATTTTTTACAATTTTTGTCTGTAAGTCTGTCTGTTTGTTTGTTTCAGTTAATATCTGAAACGGCTGGGCCGATTTTGACGGGACTTTCGGTTGCAGATAGATGATGTAATAAGGAGTAACTTAGGCTACTTTTATTTTACAAATTTTAATTTATTTATTTTAAATTCCACGCGGACGAAGTCGTGGGCACAGTTATGACTATATCTGATTTGAGACGGTGGAGCTGGCGATGGTGCCAGGCGTGGCTAAAACACAGAGTATACAGATTTAAGACCTCGAGATTTTAGCGCAGTTAGTATATCGATCGCATAGTGCCCAGTGACACTGGAAATGTGCATGTTACTAGGAAAGCGCAAGTTCGGGCAGCGGCGAATCATGTTTCGAAGATAAATTATCATCTACACCCTTTAAGTTTCTTATTAATTGCAGAGATTAGCACTAAAATTAAAAAAGAATATAAGTAAAATATTTGTAATATATACCAATATACAGGGAGATTTTTTGAGAAGTGCCCAATTCATTTTTAGATTTACACCCAGATTTACGCCCAGATTTACACAGGCTCGGTAGTATAATTGTTTATTGAAATTAAAAACAAAGTTTTTTTTCCAAAAAATGCCATTCTATTCCCTAAAAAACAGAACGTGCTGACAATGCGGTACCTAAATTTTACTGTGCACGAACTTGTGTGCGACTTAGTTATGAAAGGTCGCGCGTAAATTAAATGAGTTGCGTATAAATCACGCAACTTTTGAGATGTTCAAATGAATGTAATTAATTACTTACGACTGTTTTTAAACATTTATCATTTTTATATAACATTATTTATGTTTATAATCTAATATAAAAAAAATTTATACACTTAGAAAATCCACCCTGTACAATACGTATAAATAAAACTGTAACTTATATATCTATAATATACCTATTGGACACACACAGGTGAAAGGGAAAAATGTGCTTTTTTGTAGAAGCTTTTACCTCGCAACGAAAGTGCCATTTGCCAAAGACGTCACCGATAAAATTGCGAATAAATTCTGAATCCAAAATAATAAACGCACCCTTTGAATTTAAAACGTCTATATGCCCGATAGTCTGACACTATCGTAACAAGCCCGATCGCGTATTAAGTTTTCATACGTTGTTAAAAATGTTCACTTCTACTTTTTGACGTTATTCCAAATTTAAACCACGCTTTCCCATCCATTGAGTTCGCTCCGATCGAAAAAACATCCGCCCGCACGTGCGTAGTTCGCCTCAATCAATCTCGCATTATTCGGAATAATATATAAAATAATAATCGCTGACGTCTCTAAGCCAAAATTAAAGATAACTAATACTCCATCTCAAGGTATGTAATGGGCGTGCAAACGGGACTGTTATTATTATATTATAGTATAAAACAGTTTTAGATCTTTAAAACTACGCTACGGATCTTGATGCGGTTTTTTACTAGATAGAGTGATTCAAGAGGAAGGTTTATGTGTATAATACATTGCACCCGTGCTAGGCCGTGTCGGGTCGCTAGTTGTAAATAAAAAGCGACGAGGTTCATTCGTAAATAAAAATTGTTAACGGATTTTATTGACTGTTGTTTTCCCGAGCGTAAATTAAAAAATAAAATATAGCAATAAGTTATACCATAAATATTAAAAAACCAGTCTATATTATTATTAACGAAAAACAAAATCAATTTCAAATATCTCGCTCTGTATTGATTTTGTAATTGATTCAGGAGTTCCCTAAGTATCTCCGGAGCCCAAGAATACCAATGAAATTAATATGGGACCACCAGTTTTCTAATAAAAAAATAATCATCAAAATCGGTTTACTCAGTCGAAAGTTCTGAGGTAACAAACATGAAAAAAATACAGTCGAATTGAGAACCTCCTCCTTTTTTGAAGTCGGTTGAAAAATAGATTTTACTACACTATGACTACGGAATGCAGGAGTAGAGTACGGGTTTCGGCTGCTTTACGTCACAACGTCACAGTTTAACGAATCGAATAAAAACACTGGAACAAAAGACGGTTGGCCCCAAAACGTGTTTTAATTTAGATGTGCAGAAGATTTTTATATTACACCTTAGTAATTTTGCATAACATTCCGACATTGAACACGACACGTGTTGAACAGTTTATTTACCAGTCGCGTTAAGAACAATAAGTTATCGAAAAAAGGAAAATTAAGTTTAGGGAGCATAAGGGAAGCAATTAGAATTTAAATAGCTGTTGTAAGATTCATTTCAGTCGGTTTTTTCACATTCTTTCATTAAGTAAATAACTTTATTGCACGTAAAACGTAGCTGGGATATTTTATTTGTGATTTGTGAGTTTTGGAAAGAAATACTAATAAAAATATGTTTCCCACTAATTAAATTCTTGCGTGGAATTATATTTTTTCATATTTCTAAACAGATAATTGTAACAATTAAAAATGTCTTTCGTACCATATAGGAGGCATAATGAGTAAAAAAAATTACAACTACATTTGAAACTAATACATAACATAATAAAAATACAATATAAACCATAAGCCAGTAATGTTTCCACATTATTAAATCCTTATAATAGACACCAAGGTAGAACTTGTTTTACATAAAAAATATGATCTAAAACTACCTAAACATAAATGAAATATATGTAAATAATACTTGAAATAATAACAAAAGGTAAACAGAACATGATTTTTTTTTGTATTATTTTAAGCATTAACTTATGTAGAACAAGAACTCTACTGGTACCGAGGTTAGCGTATATATCTTGTGTTAAAAAAACAGCTATGTGTGATTCAAAGCACATAATTAAGTATTATTTGTATTAGATTCTTAAAAACTGATCTGACCGACTTGACTAGTACTCTTCCAGAATTATTACCAAGAACGAAGTAGCCTTAAAGCCTATTTATTCGTTCTTTCCTTAAAAGTATCATCATCTGTCTGACGGCAACTCTTGAGAACATCCATCCAGACCCGGAACAATTATCAGTGGGTCACACAAATACTCGTTCCATGTGGGAATCGAACTCGCGACCCCTGCATCTCGGCCAATAGATTAGCAACTGCATCGCCCTATGAAACTTGTACGGGAACCATAAACTCACGGCCATATAACACAGATTGTGTAACATAAAATCATAAAATGGATGAATGAAATATCAACAAAAGATTATGGGTGAAATAAAATACGTTATCAAAGGTCTTCTTCTTTCTTTGTTTATGGCTTCTCTTTAAAGAATTCTCCCAATGTCAAGTCAGTCATGGGAGTAACAAGATGTGATCAAAGGTTTTAGTTGGGAAAGAATGCTATTGTGATAATGTATCAGTTTCATTTCAAAATCAGTTTGAATATTTCGCAGCGATGAAACCACGATTCTCATATATAACCATATACCCCGGAGTATGCTAGGGAGTAAAACTACAATAAAAACTTAGCGCAAAGACAGCAATCATCCCCCATGTTTCGCTGTTATAATCGACGATAAATTTTGTTTGTGGGCGTCGGTGCCGGTCGATACAGGGGAATAGAGACGGGACGCCTACGTATATTCGCCCCCTCTTCAACCCCCCCGCCCCAGGTCGCCCGCAGCTTCCCCTGACCTACATAGGTGGGATGGGGGAACGCTTGCGTACTGTACACGCTCCCACAGAACGTCCCGATAATGAAACATGTTGATTAATTGCAATTAATCGAAATACTCCCGAAAGGGCAATGGGTGGTCGGGAACCACCATCACGACTAATAATGCGCACATATAAAAGACTAGCGACCCGCCCCGGCTTGCAACGTATTATAAATATATTCCTTCCTCGTGAATCACTCTATCTAGTAAAAAACGGCAATGCGTAATTTTAAAGATCCAAGCATGAATAGGGACAGGTAGACAGCGGGAAGATTTTGTTTTATACATTGTAGTGGATACGGCGATTGGCGCACCGTTTATAAAATTGTAATTATTATGTGTATCATCAATTTATTATTATTTTATTGTAAAATTTGACCAACTTTTTTTAAAACCATTTTTTTGAGAACAACATGTTCTTATAAAATTCCGTTTAAAATATGATATTTATTGTGTGGGATGATAATTATATTGTGAATTATCTGGAAAGTTTATAAACTTGACATTGTTTGTAACAATTTTTATAAAAAAAAAGTTGTGTGAAAAAGAAATTTAAAATATTTGAACTTGACATGGAATTCTGATGTAATGCTTATTTGTTTCTAATAAACCTATTTAAATAATACAATTAATAAAGTGTATAAGACAACTTAATATTATATTCTTATTGCTAATTTTTCGTTGTAAAATATCACAATGAAGTAATATATTTCATAAACAATTTTTCCGAAGCAACCCTTCTCGATCACAAGCGCGTAAGTTAATAAGTACTCGTTGGCTGTCAGTAGTCTACTACTTAACTTACTCAGTACTAATACTGAGATACTTTGAATTACAATAATGATGTACATGGTGTAACTATTGTTGCATGAATTATTCACACGTCCATCATGGTACACCTGCGCCATTGTTCTTCTTTGTGTTTATTGCAAGATTCAAATCCTGTTCTCACTGAACTCATCCTTACATAGCCTACTAGAGGATAAGTCAGACCATAGACTAAAGAAGTATTAAAAATAATGCTTATGTTATAAGTTCAAAATCGAGCTTTGAAATTATTTGCGATTATTCCGATGGTTAATTTCATACTACTTAATTATATCATCATTGGATTACTCTATATTAAATAACACAAAAAATAATTTGAATATATGTAATATGAAATATTGTATTTTCAGAATATTAAGAGATCGCAATCATTAGTAGGAAAGAACGAAGCATTGTCATAGCAAAACATTAAATTCATCTTAAATTTGCAAAGTTGAACGTTAAGCCAATGACGTATAGGTAAAAATCGCGAGCTCGTCGTGATTTGGTAACTTGCTAACTGTTTGGCTTGGATGGCTTCCGTTCGATCCGCCATATTGAAAAATATGGCAGCTAAGGTTCCCGATCTAAATAAAATCGTAAAATAATTTGAAATTATAAATATTGTGATATAAACATGTAATGTTAATGACATGTTGAAATGTTGAAGCGAATCCTTGTACGTTTAAGTCAAGCACATTCAGCATTTAAGGTATGATTTAAGGCTTACGTTATTAACCTTTCATTATATTTTAGCGATCCAGATGTTTCGCCCAGATGCAATTCAGTTTTTACATACAATTTTTTAGGTATGAAGTAACTATCACACATACTTTTCTATGACGTCATATCATACATAAATATTAGATATCCTATTTCCACCTGGAAAAATACTTTTCGAGCGGTGAAATAATTTTTCGTATAGGTGGAAGCCCAGTTAACAGACTAAGTAATATTTATATAGCTTATGGAAAACAATCTGTATTGAGTAAACTAATTATTAGTTATTGTAATTAGTCAAGAAAAGAAAGTAGCAGTCTTATCGGAATGAACGAAGAAAGGGTTAAAAAACTTGCGGATGTGCGGGCTCTCATGGAATATGAATGCACTTATGCGCTTTGCGCAGAGGAGCACGTCACTATTGAACTGTCATTGCGGATATTATGTTGTGTAATGCTGTTTCATTTTTCGGTTAGCAAAATAAAAAAAGAACTTAAGAAGCATTGGCTCTTTATACATCGAGTAGAACTATATATTCAAACGATTAAGATCATTAGATAAAATGATTCTTGTATCAACTTAGTGCCGCTACACAAAGTGAAGAAAACTCAAATTTTCTTTCTTCATCTACATTTCTAACAGCAAAGCACGGTTATATTTAATTGATTTGTTATTTCTATATATAGAAGTAACAAAACAATTAAATCCGGTTCCTTAATTATGTTACTTTACTGTCTTCCAATGTATATGTTTAAATGTATAATTATTTAAAACGCCTTTACTAAGACTATATTGAGTTTAGTGGAAAACCCTAAAGATTAAATCGTAAAATTTTATCTATACATAATAATAATTTGAAGCGTGGAAGATAATAAAGAAATTACACTTTCTGTCGTACCATCGCTTTTTATCGCGGAATTTCTGAACTAAATTCCTAAAATCAATGTAAAATACACATGTGTCCTTGAAGTAATGAATAGATCATTTAAATACTTTTTATAAACTTAAGATATTTTATTATATGTACTTTTACATATTTCGTGATGGAATCGCTCTCAATTTCGTTTCCATATGATTCTGGCCTAGGGAATCGTATTCAACGCTTCTAGTGTTTATGTTGAAATGGTTTTGAACCATTGTCATAGTAGGTATCTACATTTATGTAGCATGTAACCTTACAAAGCTACTTAATAAGAGTTGGTGGTTTGGCTTAGGTGTTGCGTAAGATTTGGAAAATTTGTAGTTTTGGAAATTTTTTGGCACTCCGTGCCTGCATTTCTCAAATAGGAATATTTTTTATTATTCATTTTCACACCCATTTACTGTTTCTTTGAGCCTTTAATAAAAACGAAAACAATATCTTTAATGAAATGAAAATGCCAACCAATTATTTGTTCAGACGATTAGCGTTTGACGCGATGACGTGAGGTATATTGTAAGAGCTGTGCAAGGTGAGTTGACCAATTATGCCATATTACTCGTTCCGTATAACCACAGTTTGTCTAATAGCGAGCAAATTAAATCAAACTGCCTACGCGAACGCTCGTTGTTTACATCGTGATCCCAGAAAAGCGTTGATGCAATTTTATCTGTGAATTGTACAACAGTGTGTATTGAAACCTATAGATGCATAGATATAAGACGCTTCCTCGATTACAATGGTGTATGCGATGGAGCGATCGATGAATCCTTGAAATAGGAGATTTGGGGATGCAAATTAATGAAATAATTACCTTGTTACACCTCGCCTTCAGGATTGTTGTCACTCGCGACCCAAACTGCGCATTAATCCCCTGTGGAAGCTGTTTCCAGAAAGAGGGCGCGCAAGAAAGACCAGCCGACGCGGCGGCGCGCGGCAGAATCGCGCGGCCTCGACCTTGGCCGTCAAACCAGCGCATGCGTCCCGCGTCGCCCCCCGTCGCTCCTCCGCCAATTATGTCATTATGTTTGCTGCTGTTCTGTTGCCAAACACAGTTGCGGTCCGTTGGAGATGGATCCTGATTTCAACCGTATTTGATACATTAACATTTCTAAATAACATTAATTTTTACAATTTTGTAACCTTAGTAAAATATGAGAAAATAACGTTATAATATACGTTTGAATAAAATTTGTACGTTCTTGGATGGCTCGTAGAGTGCAGGCAGAATATTAAAATACGATCTTTGATAATATATTGTTCTCAACAAGTTTATAATGTAAGTGCTTTATATTAATTAACAGATTGAAACTTCAACACGACTCGTCAATATTTCATCAACACCCTATAACAAAATTATACATATTTATATGCAAGTAAAACAAGAATAACAAAGTTAATGTTTAATGTTATTTATTTATGCACACGCTGAGCTTAGTGTTAAGTATTATTTTTTATATTAAATAATCTTACTATGTATCACGCGGTTTAGTCACATGATGTAAACATTTCGTTGATACATACGCCAATGTATCGTTAAGACTTGCTAGAAACCCCTTTTGTAAATTTTACTATTTCTTTATTATTATTTTGAATACTTTTGTAGCCGGAGTTAATGTCGCAAAAATTTGTTATTAAATAATAGTTTTCATATATTCTTATTTAACATATTATTTTAAATGAATTTAAAAATTTATTTTGGAAAGTAAGCAAATCTTGTCAATTGTATAGTATTGTTGTGCCTATTTTGTTTTAATTATTTTTACATTGTGCGCCATTTTATTCAAATGGTGTATCAATGCCATCTATAAATAAGCTTGATAACTACTGTGATAAATCTGTAAGCCCTAAATGTAACTAGTTTAAAGATAAAGACCCCAGAGGGCACTGTAATCAACTTAGTTACATTTTTTTTTGTGATAATTATTTTTAATAATATTTTATTATGAAGATGTGAGTTTTGTTGTGATCCTGTTTTCCAAGTACTTATTCCGATATTTTGTTAATTTTCTTTATCATACCATGACATTAGATTATAATAATATTATTTCGATGAAACATTAATGAAGCAATTTTTTAATACCACAAACAGTTTGTTCATAGATAAGACATATATACTGAGTTTATTCTTGTGACTGTTAAAGAAACCTTCGTAGAAATCGTGTTATACCTGATTACCTGTTATAGAAAAATGTTAAAAATATTTAGAGGACGTATATTACTTTGTAGTTTGTAGTAAATTTTGTAAGATAAAATGTACAAGGATTTTGATAAGAATTCGTCAAGGAATAGTAGAAATAAACAAAATAATGTTGCTAAAACAATGTAGTGAGTGCTGAAAACGCACGTGATTCACAGTTTTTTGGCAATTATAACTCTGCAATAATTCTAATGTAACGAAAATGTAATTATTGCTATCCATCTAGATATAACGTAATAGAGAAGCTAAACTTGTTTTTATTTTTTTTTATGTGAAAAGTTGCCAAACGAGCAGACGGTTCACCTGATGGTAAGTGAATACCGCCGCCCATGGACAACTGCTACAACCAAGGGTTACAGAGGCGTTGACAACCTTTTGAAAATTGGGCTCTGGCTACCTCACTTACCAGACGAAACGCAAAAGTATTTGCCATACTTCCACTTTATGCTGGTCTTCTGTGAGGTTGTGGTACTTACCCGGACGGGCCTGCCCATTCCTGCAACAGCCGAGGCTGCTGCGTGGCCCTACCATCGTAACCTTGTTCCATTTTTGGTCAGTTTAAGCTTAAATCCGCTTCAGCGGTAAATCAATATTTGTCATTTAACCTATCCACACGTAACGATTTTTCTTTTAAAAACAAATCCTTGGACCACGCTTAAGAGCAAGCACGTGACCGAAAGAAATGCACTGCCGCAGTTATAACTCCGTACGGAACATTATAACTCAGCGTAGCGAATTCTCTATTTAATTATCTCGATGGTACTGTCAGTTTTTTTGTGACCTATTACACATCGTAAATCTGCAGTTATGACTATAATATAAATAAAGAATAAAACTCATTTTTAGAATTTAAATTCTATTAATAATTAATTGTATTGGGAGTCAGAGTCCAATCGATATTGACGGTTAAAATTTGGATATCATGTTCTCCGGAGACGGCAGATTTTCTTGCATGTAGCGTCTTCTGTTTACTTCAGTGTCCACCTTATAGCTGGTAGCTTCACCCTGATCGGCCTCTATTTTCGAGTTTCGTTGTCTGAAAAGTACGATAATTTCGAAACATAAGTCGATAAGATTTTATATGCATACATAAAAAGTTTGTTAGACACGAATAGCAGAGTATAGTATAGTTACATACATATTATTGATATTACAAATTTATTTCTTAGTTAGCTCTGATTCGTGGGAAGTCTGTGGGAAGGCCTATGTTCAGCAGTGGACTCAAACAGGCTGAAATGATGTCGATGAGCCTTGATAGTACAGTCTCCAGGCGCTAGCTTTAAGCACTAGAGCAATCTGGGTTCAAATCTTGGTGCCAGCATCAATGAAATTGTTGATTTATCACGTGCTCAGCGGTGAAAGAAAACCTCGTTAGAAAATCTGCTTATTTTCGAAATAATAACAAAAACTAATATTTAGAAGAAATAGGAAGCCTGTCAATCCACTGTGCTTTGAGAAGCCAAACAGTTGGATATACAGCGTGTCGTTACAACCGCGACAATAAATGAACACACATACAGAGGATAACTTTTTATAATAGTATTAAACATAACATAATAAGCATTTAAACAAAATTGTATAAAGCATAGCATATTATTTATCATAGTTATTAAATGTTCCAAAACAAACAATTTTAGAACACCCTTACGTATAATACTGTAACATAAAGTTCATTTGTAAAGGTCACAAAACATATGAATGAGTTGAATGAATTTGAAAGAGATAAAACATACTGTTAGAAGGAGAGATTTGTAGTGCGACGCTGCGGCAACGAATGAAAAAGTGTCTGAATGTATGAATCAGTCAGTTGTAGTTGTATAGGCTGTTACAAATTTTGTATCTTTTTTTATTAAATTAGTTTGTTTGAAATATATATTGTTTTAATTATAGATTTTTTTATCGTTTTATATTTTTTTTATGATTATTGGCAAGTAGCGTTAGACGTGTGTTAATGTATTGTCACGATTGTAACTACACTCTGTATATGTATAGGCTGATTTATTAACCGATACCGTCAGTAGATTCACTAATGTTATGTAATACTAACAACTTACTTTTGTCTTAATCCTAAACTAAGCAAATTGTTTAATGGAAGCTCGAATACGAGAAGAATGATAAGAGATGCCGCGCAACCGCAAACTATAACGCCAGCTGCCTGGATAAACTGAAACACAAAATTTATATATTAAATTTCTGACCTATATTACATTTCTGAGTTACTCGTTTCCGACTTTTTACGTTTTCAAGTTGTACACTATATGGGCATATATTGTGTGAAAGTATTTTTATACTTACGCGAAAAGATTGTAAAGGTGATTTCGGGAAGAGGAAATAATATTTACTCACCGATATGATTAAAATTTACATAGTTATGTATAAGAAAGGGTATTTTACATTTATTTTTATGTTCATAGGCAAGCGTGCAAGCGGTTCAAATGATGTTAAGAGATTTCCGCGAACCATGGTCTTCTACAAAGCCTGAAGGGTTGCAAATGTGGTGCCAAAATTAAAAAAAAATTGAGACGAGTGATGTATTCGTTGGCAAGTGGTACGAGATTTTAAAGACAAATGCTAAGCTATTAAAGCTGCTTTAAACGAATCCGTTGTTCAATACGAAGATTTCATTGTTCAAGCCACACCGTTTTAACTAGCGGTATATTTATATGAGACAATCAAAATTAGTTTAATTATTCTATACTTGCAGCATTGAACGTAAATTTAGCAATTGACCAAGCGTCAAGACCATAGAATTGGAATCGTTCAACGATAGAAATCTTTTTAGACGCGCGTCTAAAAAGCTTGTACGCTCGGTGTTCATATGAAAAGTGGGTCCATATAAAGGAGGAGTCTACATTTATTCACAAGGTGATAAACAAATTTAGACTGTAACCTAGACGCCTTAAGATTTTAAATTAACTTAATAAAAATATCTTAATCGATGGAATCGAAACGAAACAAACCCTCTGTATCGTACAATTTAATCCACCTGTGTATACTATTGAGAAAGCCTAAATTTTACACTCTATACATAAAAAGAACGGATGATTTCTTCTGAGAAAGCTCTCATTACAAAATCTAACATTTTGGGTAGAGACATGAAAAACCACGTTAGTAAACAAATCCTTATGATCCCCGTGATCGACAAATCCTTATCATCCCAAGAGCCGTGATAGTCATTGTCCGGGTGCTCGCCTTTAATTCAATATACTCGAGAAACCTGAGTTAGATCCCCGGTGCCGGCACCAATTAAATGGTCAATTTTAAGTGCTGATTTATAACGTGATCCGCGATGAAGTAAAACATCGTGAGAAAATAATAACAAAAAAGAATATAAATATTTCGAAGATATATGAAGTCCGCAAATCCGCAGTGAGGCCGCGTGGTGGACTATGATACTCTCTGGGCTTAATACCCTTATACTGTTATGATCCCCACGTATTAAGCTTCCACTTTGTGTACCTACTTGTACTAGATTTATTTCGAAGAGGCAAGGTACGAGTAGGCTTATTACAATTATGGTGAAAAATAGAAATCCTCAATCTCTTTTTGAGTAGAGTTCATGTATGCATAAAAAAGCTGGTGAATCTTACGTTGTTGGAAATATCGGAGTACCGGGAGACTCTGGTGCTGTAGATATTGCGGGCGATGATGATTGAATGGGTCAGGTACAAGCCGTAACTAAGGCGGCTGAGAGGTGCCCAGGGGTACCAACTGAGGAAGCTTTTCAACAGGGCTGAAAATATCATAGAAGTAAATAAAAATAAAGAAAGAATGAAACCGTGATCTACGGACGCAAAATTAATATTTTAACAACAGAGGGTAGCACGGGTTAACTATGACATTCAGACGTCCAAAGCATCAGTCTGTCCCGTGACCATGAGCGCTATAAAGTGTTTTGGTACACTTCGGGCATTAAAATTAAAACCGAACGCGTTATATATGTCGAAGGATCACGATGTGGCGTTATAATTTGATTACAATACCATCTATTGGTAGCTCTCGGAAACGTCAAGTAGTGCGCTTGAGTAAGGTCGATACAAGAAGTGAGAGAGCAGACTTGACGGTTATGAGTTGTGGAATTCAATTGACATCGGACACGGGGTGTGTTCTGGACGTGCTCGGGCACGCCACTTAGAAAAGGGACGGCGGTGCGAGCGGCCATTTTCCTGTATCCAACTTGCTGCGTTTCCATTTAATTACATCGGCGTTGTTAATAGTTATTTTCGTTATTGTTGATTTTAATCGAAAAAGTAAACTACAGTACTACTTGATAACTTTTATTTTGTGCGTACAACATGTCCGATGAGGGATCTGACAACGAGTTTTCCCATGTGATCCACCTAATCTCCGACATATATATAAATCCGTTAAAACAGTTTCTTTTATAAATGCTACAAGTTCATTTATTGTGTATGTATCAAATGACCTACATATAAAGGTAATTTATAATGACTGGTAATTTAAACAAAATGTAAATGAAAAATATCCATCAATCATGATGTAGTTGCTTACTTACGCACATGCCCTAGCGAACAGCAGATAATAAGAAAGGCTACGCTGACGGCCCAAATTGGGCGGTCTATAGCCGCGTAGACCACGTCACCTACGACACCGTAGCTTCGCCACAGGAACGTAGCACCGTAGAGCAATAACGTTAGCATCACCACCAGCCCCAAACAGGCGCCGAGCACGGAGTATTTCTGGAAACCGTGAATTCTATTACATATTCGGTAACGCTAGATTTGTGAATATTTTGGTAAAATTTTAGCCAACATTTTAAAAAGTAAATGATGCACAGTAGATGGTGCCAAGCATCGCTAAAATAGGCTGTAAAGGATGTATCCTAAATGGCGCCAAACATTGTGATACGAGAGCTAGCAACGTCGGGAAAACAAGAATTTCAGGTAGGCCAGTTTTTAGATATGCTATCTCTCTCACTCTCCCGGACGTCATTCGGGCTATCTGGCTGGCGGAAGAGGTTGCGTTCATCAGTGCCTATCGTACCCGTCCATCAGTGCGCATTGTACCCGTTCATCAATGCGCATCGTACCCGTACAGGTAACTTTTTTTTTATTATTTTAATTGAACTTTTTGCAACATGAATCTTTAATCAACAAATATTTTTATTGTTGTTTAAACTGTGCCAAACGTATATTTTGAATTAATTTAATTTTTTTTTTCAAAATATTTTAGTACGGCTGAAATTTTAATATGATGTTGTTTAAGTATCTAAAACAATTTGCAAACATAATTCAACTGTTAACCCTTCAGCCTGACCGATCCGAAAGCTAAAAGTTATTGGGCATGTTGGAAGAGTACGAGCAATGTACGATGCGAACTGATTAACGCAACCTCTACCATGACGTTCGGGAGGGTGAGAGAGATAGCATATCTAAGAACTGGCCTACCTGAAATTCTCTCTCGAAAACGTTGCTCTCTCTTAGACTTTTGCTACAAGTGCTATTATACAATAAACGTAGATAGATGTAAAGATTTTCGCACCGTGAGGTCATCTACTGCTTAGCTAAATTGGTAAAGCGTCTTCACGCGAAACCAGAAGTTTTTGTTCAATTATTTACAATTTAAAAAGTAAATATAAGAGACATTTTTAATGGCATATAATGGCCGTCTCGTTATTATTTTTACTTTCTCATTTACGATATGTAAATGAGAAAGTAAAAATATATTTCATGTTAAAACGTGAAAATCAATCTGATCTGTCAAGTCAAACCAACAAAAAGATAAAATTTCACAACCCGTGATATCGATTGGTATGCGCGTTTATCCACGTAACACAAAATAAATTAACTGGACGTATTTTACCTGAATAACCTTAAGACGAGGATGAATTTGAATTTTTTGTACGTATATGAAGTGGCGAGACTTCCGATAGGTCAGAATACTCTCGAATCCTCCCGCGACGGGGTCAATGAGGACTTTACTCGGGTGACGTTTGCTCGGTCGGGTCACGTTAGGGCCCGGTTGATAACCACCTTAGGATTGGAATTATATTTGGTTCATTCTAAGGACCGACGATGACTTTGTTAGACTTTTTTACATCCCTGAAGTGATCGCGTACTTGGTAGCCTATAGTAGACGCGCAGGTCGACGTTTTTTTGGTACCTTGCACCGGTTGTATTGGCAATTTATTATGGACTACCTGACGTTTATTAAAGTATGTATGGGGTACACCAGCGTTTTAGAGCTTGTTCGAAGGGTTCATGGGGTAATAAAGTTAGCCTGGTAGGAACGCGGCTTTGTTACTTAAATTTTTTATGTCGGTTCAAAATAAAATGTCGGTGTCGAACGGAACCCCTACACATTTCTTTCTTCTTCCTTTCCCAGAGAATCGGTTGGTTGCCAAGGGCAATTTCTCAAGACTTCCGTTGGTTAGATCAGATTGTTGAAGGTGTAGGAATCTACACTACTGTGACCTTGTTTATAATATATTTATAAAATATATAGGGTTCACGGCTATTTTCTCTATTCGTATTTTACGAATCTGTTAATATCTAGAGGGGGTCAATTTGTTAATAAATATGAGCTATTATCTTTTAAAGAGAAGGATTAATAATAACCACTTACCTGGGAAATTCTAGTGCCCTTGGCTTTGTGGTGAGAGTAAAGGAGGCCAGCGATGAAGCCGATGAGGTAAGCGGCATAACGAGTATGGCTCTTGATGTATGTCAAATGGAATTGCAGGGGTCTTCGAGGATTGGTAATAAAACTGAAACCAGAGTTATTACCTTACATGAGAACCTTATTTGCACATTAACAAAATTTACCATATACCATATTAATTATATGTGTAATATTAATCAGTTAATATTGCAGATATTAATGCTTTGCAGTATGTAATATTAAATAAAGAGAAATGATAAAGTCCTTGAAATAGTTTTACTTACTCGCATGTTATATTAGCGTAAGTAAAATCATTATGTTTAAAACATACATTTTTCTTTTTTTACAAAAACCTTACATGCATTATCAGATTACCAAATAAAGCATAAACTTTACACGGACATATTGTGATCATGTTTGTATTATTTATTATTATGTATATTCGTTGTATTTAGACATTATTTGACAATAAATAATTAGATAAATCATGAGCACTTATCACGAGCTCAACGGTGAAGGAAAACATCATGAAGATATTTTTAAATATAAATATTTTTTCGGACACATTTTTTACACAACATTCTCTAGTCCCAAACTAAGCAACGTTTGTACTATGGGTACTAAAAAACTGATAAACATACTTAAATATACTTTTCTTTTGTAAATAAATACATATTATACATATATAAACACCCAGACACTGGAAAAACACTATGTTCGTCACACAATATGTTTCCAGTAGTGGGGATCGAACCCACACCCTCTGGCGCAAGAGGCAGGGTCACTACTCCCCACGCCAATCAGGTCGTCGAGAAACCTGCATGTTTTCGATATAATAATAATAAAATATATTTTGAAGATATGTGAAGTTGTGAAGTCCGCCAATCCGCAGTGGGGCCCCGTGTTGGACTATGACTATCTGATGCTGTTCATGCCGGCCTTTGCCGAGCAGCGTGAAATTTATAAGCTGTTCTTTACTTTACCATACTAAATATATACAAATTAATAACAATACTTGGAGAACCGGTTTTTTTTTTGGTAAATCATGTATTTTGGAAATTACATTTAGATACAAATTACTGAGTAATAAAATATGCTTAATATTTTTCGATCTTACCGAGGTAATAATAAGAAAATATGAACTGGTGTTTTTCACAAAAGAAAGAACTTTAAAAAAAAGAGAAAAAATAACAAAATCATCTGGATCGACAAAAGATAAAAAAAACTAAAACAATGATCTGGAATCGAAAAAAAGGAAAAAATAAGTGTGTGATCGTGACACGAACCACGGCCTTCTGTTTCGGGGCCGCCCGATTACCGACCGAGCTACTATCACATTTTTTTTTTCGGCGAAATTTACCGTTATATTCGAATGATATTTTTCATTCCCTGAAACAATCAATTACACACAAAATTGTGTGTAATTGATTGTTCGTTTTGATTTTATTTGCATATTGCATAATTTTTGTTTGTTATTATGCAAATCTTGATGAAGTAAATACATTTGCGTTATTTCTAATTAGGCTATCAGTAATTGCAGTCACGTTCCTAAGAACAATAATGAGCGGAAATATCGCGGGTCGCTCAATTTATGGCAATGAATGATGCACCTTGTTATGACTAGTCGTTTAAACTTTGTTGATTTAACTCAATAATCACTATAAGCTTTGAGTGTGAATCATAATAGACAGAAACAATATTTTTATCTGTATCCGTCGAATATACATGTCAATCATAATAGACAGAAACAATATTTTTATCTGTATCCGTCGAATATACATGTCAGTCAATTGCTTAATCTGATGAAACTTTTTCGTCTATATTACATTTAACAAAAGAACATATTCTTTATTGTATTATTCATCACAATAATAAATTAACATCAAAAAAATATCAAAGGGAACTTGACCTCACGATTGTCAGGTCATTTCCCAACAAAAAATGGATGCATTAAGGATTACTTGCGTTTACGAATAAGTAGTCTACAATGGTTAATTAAAGTAATTTACGCATATTTCATTAGGATTTTGATTTCCTACATTTCGAACACTATAAAGAGTCCAGGCACGGGAAAGATTGTCCCGTCTAAGAGTTTGAACTAAAATGAATTTGGAAAAAAAAACTGTTTAAAATTACGTTAAAAAATGACCGTTATGTACTTACTCGTAAGTGAACAGTTGTATTGGAGGAAGTTGGTAAAGATAGTTGATCACCCCTGGAGTGATAATGGCCGCAATACAGACTAGAATTGCGCAGATGACCCCAATCCTCGGCAGCCTTCTATATAACCAGTACAAAAGCATTGTCACCGCGAAGAAATGGAAGTCGCAGGGGATGTACCACGTCACGACTATACACTGAAATAGTAAGAGTTAATACCAGTTTTGAGAGCAAGGTTGTCAATTTTTACATCAAGTAAAAGTAAAATTAAAATATACTTTATTATACTCTAAGAGACATTACAGTATTTATAATTAAAAAAAGACACGGGCACAACAGGCGGCCTTATCGCTTAAGCAGCGATCTCTTCCAGGCAACCTTCGATCAGACAAATTCATTAAAAGGTGGCAGGTGTGTACTAAATGAATTTATAAAATGTGGAGCCGTTGCTGTTACACGAGTGGGCAGGCTCGATCGGGGAAGTACCACGTTCTCACAGAAGACTGGCGTGAATTGGAAGTATTATATTTTCGCGTATCGTAGTTAGGTAACCGGGGCCCGCTTTGTTTAATAGTTTAGGAATAAAGAAACCAGTCGGGTGGGGAGAATTCCATGGTTGGCGGTAATAACTTAACATCAGGTGAGCCGCCTGCTTGCTAATCAACTTCCACATTGTATTTGTGTAATTGTTATTTAAACATTAGAAAAAATGTTTGTTAAAGGTGACAATGATTTTTGTGCACTGGTTTCCTATATACTAATATACACCATATTCAACAAAGTTTTTATACAATACTTTATTTAAACCTTTTTTATTTATTACCGCCATTGGGAGTACAGTTGTTACGCAATGTTTTTTTTCCATAATTAAAATAAAGAGCTATCTAAAGTCCGTTGATCCTATTCCATGTTTTAATTACACATGTTCGCATCCGATTAGTGGCATTAAGCCAAAATCCGGCAGTAAATATTCTTACTATTTGAACTAAGCATGAAATATGATGACTGCGTGGCGCAGTTGCCAAGGCAGTGGCTTCGGCATCGGGAGTAGTGGGTTCGATTCCCATAAGGGAAAACTATCTGTGGGACCCACGGATATTTTACGTAGTGGGTGTTTGTCCACGTGAAATTGACGCTTGTAAAACGTACAGTTTTTTTTTTGTTGTAAAACTTCGTATAGCTAAAGTAAGGGCAATAAAAAAAGTTAAAGAAAAAAAATGTATGCAGGGGGACATAGTAAATGTAGAATGCGCATGCGATGGCTGGTGCGGAGAAAAACAACGTTGGCCTTAACAGACCGTCACGCGAACGCGAATTGGCGTGCGAGTGTTCGTGATCACTCACTATGTTCTCGGTGTCGAGGTAATTACTCAGCATGAGGAGGCTAAGCCACCAGTTTTTGCGGCACTGCTCCGTGTCGCCGGCAATGGCCCTGCCCCACAGAGGGCCGGAGCCCGTGAGCGGGTACACGGCGCACACGTAGTAAATCACCACAGCGAACGCCACTACCAGTCTGTAAAAGGGGTTCATCATGCTAGCTCTATCCGTGAAATACTTATTATTTATTTATTTATTATTTATGCCCACACATTTATGTACAAATGCGGAATTAATGCCATCAGCATTATCTCCCGGTCAACCTTGGGGTGGCCCAGAAAAGTTTAAATAGGTGCATTTATTACAAATTAAAAAAAAATCAATCGTAAGAATTTTAAAATATCTACATATTATACCAACTAACAAAATACTTTACTAATAATATCAGATACAATACCGTACATGTACATAAAATAAAGTTAACAATTTAATATACACAATATGTACACATATATGTACAGGGTGGCTTTTCTAAGTATATCCATTTTTTTTTATTATATTCTAGACATAAATAATGTTATATAAAAATGATAAATATTTAAAATCACTCGTAAGTAATTAATTACATTCATTTGAACTTATCTCAAAAAGTGCGTGATTTATACGTAACTCATTTATTTTACGCGTGATCATTCATAACTAACACGCGCACAAGTTCGTGCACAGTAAAATTTAGGTATTTATGAATAACTACCGCATTGTCAACATGTTCTGTTTCGAATGGTATTCTCAACTTTGTTTTTTATTTCAATAAACGATTATACCGAGTCTGAACCTCCTGTGTAAATTTGGGCACTTCTCAAAAAATCTCCCTGTATAAATAAATATGAAATATAAATAATTTTATTATGTATCTTATACTATACTAAACACCCTGCAGACGTTCTGTACACACGTTTTCTAATCCGCTGCAGTTTTTTGTTTTGAATTTGTGAATCTAAACCATTCAAATTCAAAATCCACTTGAACACACATAAAAATTTCATTCCGCCGAGGCGTTTAGGAGTTCTGACACAAGTACACGCACAGAATAATTATGTATGTATAGGCTAGCTTCAATTTGACCACGCTTCAAGCCTCTTTTTTTTTCGTTTTCGTTTGCATAGACGGAATAAAAAGTATAAAGAATACTATCACGTTTAATAGCTTTGTAATGTACAAAATTCAAGTCAATTTTTTCGATTTAGTGGATATAAACCTAATTTTTATATGTAGGTAAAGCAGATTTATGACATTCTATTCAAATCGTCAAGAGGAAAAAAACAATCACTATTATCATATCACCAAATTAAATCATAGTTCTTTTGTTATGGAGATTTTAAGACGTTATATTATTGAGATCGTTACACGTTTACCGGTGATCGTTTTAACGGTGGTAGGGCCACGCAGCAGCCTCGGCTGTTGCACGAATGGGCAGGCCCGTCCGGGTAAGTACCACGACCTCACAGAAGACCAGCGTAAAGTGGAAGTATGACAAATACTTTCGCGTTTCGTCTGGTGAGTGAGGTAGCCGGAGCCCAATTTTCAAAAGGTTGTCAACGCATCTGCAACCGTTGTGGGTGTGGCAGATGTCCATGGGCAGCGGTATTCACTTAACATCAGGTGAACCGTCTGCTCGTTTGGCAATATTACACATTAAAAAAAAAAAAAAAAAAGTTTGTTTTGATTTTGGTTATTAATGAAACAATGTAAAAAATGTTCTAATTCTGAATTTTAGAAAACATAATAATGTCATAAACGCTTAAAATAATATTAATGTTACCTTACGTATCTTTTGAGGATTATAGCTAATGGATGCGGGAGCCTTTTGAAAGAAGACAGTGCTTTCGCTGAGAGGAAACCTGACAAAACGAAGAAGGTGTCCACGAATAGATCGTTGTGGAGTATGAACATACCCAAGAGGGAAACTGCGGCCTGGAAACAAAGGTTGACGCTGATATAACAATAATATTGTGATAATTTGTCTACCATTACTTTTTATTTGTAAGACGGCTCTGAAAAACACGATTATCGTAAGAATTTTATAAACAAAATTAAAATCAACAAGATGAACACCGTAAATTATTTTTGTCTTAATGTGTCGTGTTCGTGTAATTTAAAATATAGAAATTATCAAAACACAACGTGTATTCTTAATTACTGATTGTAAATTTGAAAAAGACGGAGAAAAACCGATCATATCGCTGTCTGCGTATATTATATGTAAAGTTGCACTCAGTCAAATCAGATCTCATAGGTATATACTCGTATTGTGTGGAGGATATGTTATAGTTTTTGCTAATAATTTTGTTTTTATCGTAGTCAACTTTTTATATTCCTTTTTTATTGTTTTAACTTTATTTCAATGTCATTTTTGTTGGCTGTGCATGGAGCTGAATCTTACAAAGTATCCGCAGAAAACCAGTGCCGTGGTATTGTTTGCCGTGGTATTATTTGTCTACCAGGGCTATATACTGAGCGGAGACCTTTTTGGTGCATACATTTTTACAATACTAGTGTCATTTCTTGTTCTTTATTTTTTTACTATAATGTAATGCGCCGAATAAATATTTCTTTCTTCTTTCTAAAATATTTTGTTTTGTTAGTAATTTTTTCAAGCATAAGAGCTGCGGTAGCTCAGATCGGATATGAATTGCAAAATCTTATTATTTAAAAGTTGACAATAGCTCGTAAACTATGACATTACGACGTAGATGTTTCACGGAAGAGACAGATGTTTTATTGAGTTCAGTGCCATTAAAACTTCGTACCTTATCTACTTGAGCTCCGTTGCTAGTTGGACCACCGTTGGATATCCCCAGTTGATGGTCCAATGTTATAAAACAAATGCTCAAGAACCTCAATCCGTACATAGCTTCGAGCCCGTTTTTGTTCATCTTCTTTATATCATTCCAGTTATTTTTTATGCAAAGCGCTTTGAGAAATGCGTCATCTACAACAGTAAGAGAATTATAATTTGTGTCTTCAGGTGATATAATTTCTTTAGATTTTTTGAATTCAAAATGGAAATTACTGAATGAATATGCGGCGGAAGTCTTCCGCTTGAGCCTGATGTATGTGCAGATTAAAACAGTCCCAATGGAGATTGCCATGAAGACGCTGAAAATAAGATGCTTTTATTATTACTATTAGAAAAGTATTTAAAAACGATGACAATTTTATAATCTGCGTACACTAAGTGATGTGAAAAAACCATAATTCGTCGATCTCACTTGTGGAACCTATTTTTTTTTTCTTACAAATGCAACAGTTAACTAGTTCTTTCATCTTGTTATAATCATATTTTGTGTGTAATTTTGAGTATTGGCTAGCCGAAAATCCATAGGAAATTTATAGTAAACTTAGGTCGAGTTGATTGTTATGAATCACAGTCGTAATTCAATACATGTTCGCGTTATCAATAAAAAACCGGCCAAGTGCGAGTCGAACTCGTGCACGAAGAGTTCTTTCCTTTTTATTTCTTTTCTTGTTTTTATTTCTAACCCTGGTTATAAATATAATTCAAAAAAGTGTGAACTAAAAAATGGAATACATATATTTAACAGCACAAATCCTAATTTTACTGATTCAAAATGTAAAAACAATTGAGATACCAATTAGACGTAAACTCGAAACTTGTAAAAACTATAAGAGAAGAAGAGAGGAAGAGAAGGCCCTTCTGCTACTCTGTACGCTAATATTGAGTTTTGACACATGTATTACACTTACCTTTAGCAGAATAGAGCCTCATCGTGCTAATACAAATTATGATAAATTTACATGACAAATACTAGACTTACATGAATGAGTAAAAAAACGCGTCGTACTGCCTTTGATGGTCGGCGCCCTGGCATGGCTCATTGACTGCAATGCGAGCTCGTAATCCGGCCGCGCCCAGGTGGCTGTGGGCGAGCAGTATGCCCAGCAAACGCTGAACCGAGCGCGGTTGGCAGGAGTTCGGCACGCACAGGCCCCAAGTGATATAGTTGAGCGGCCTCAGAAAGTAGGAGCGGTGCTGTCGCCGATAAAACAAGATGGGTTATCATTTACATACTTTCTAGGTTTCCGCACCCAAAGGGACCATATTACTAAGACTCCGCTGTCTGTCTGCCCGTCTGTCACCAGGCTGTATCTCATGATCCGTGAAAGTTAGGCAGTTCAAAATTTAGCAAATGATTCCTGTTACCGCTATAACAATAAATACTAAAAAAAGAAAAAGAAATATTTTAGTGGGGCTCCCATAAAACAGACATGATTTTTTTTGCCGTTTCTTTTAATAATGGTACGGAACCTTGCGTGCGCGAATCCGACTCGTACTTGGCTAGTTTTTTGTTATTCATACATTTATTTTTTATTATTTATATTAACGTGTCCGAAAGTGTTGATGATGACGGTGGCGGCGCTGTTAAGCTGTTGGTTCCGGCGTCGGAGGTCGTGGGTTCGATTCCCACACGGTACAAGTTTTTGTGTGACCCACAGATAATTGTTCCGGATCTGGGTGTTTGTTGTCCAAGGAGGGCGTGACGTCATACAGGCGGCCGCTTATAAAGAACGTAAGCCAAATCCATTTACAACATAATTCACATTTTTGCCGACCTCGTCTAGGTGGTGATAGGGGCAGGAGGATGATGATATTAACATGTCCGAAAATGTGATCCCTTGATATTTGGGATATTCGTTGCAATCCAATAAATAGCATTCCAGTGAGGTGTATACGCTTTTCAGATTTCTTAGGCGTTGTAATTACTGCTTGATAGTTATTGTGGTTACTTGTTACACAGAGTATGTGCAGCGCTGGATTCACACTGTGGCGGCGGATTCACACTGTGGCGGCGAATTCTCGGGGTGGCGAAATTTAGGCTTCGGGATATAGTTTTTGAAAATAATTTTCAAATTATGATATCTTTATCTTTTATATTTAAACAAAATATATTAATATAGCAGTTTAATCAACATAGTTGTGGTAAAAGTATTTTGGAATTGCGAGGATTTGAAACCGTAGCATTGCGTAGCCCCTGAGCTAGACGTCTTCTCTTCACAACGAAAGTTGTGTATGTTATTATTTCATTTTAAGTGCAGAGCGTTGGGTCAGTAATAAATAATATCCCTTTAACATTGTAATCTATTCAACGTGTTAAAATATTATACCGATATGATAAAATTCCAGTCAATAAGGAAACAGGTTATAAAAAATCTACGAGAGAGTACGCTATAAAAAATTTATGTGATTTATGTGGAGTGCAAAATAATATTTGTTTTATCTATGTATATTTGATTAGTATGAGATTTTTATTTGATTGAAGACTGGAAATATTTACACGTTGAATGCGTAAATGACGACTTCCTGATGGGAAATATTTTAAAGGAAGCTAGCGTAATTTTCAATATCATTCAGTAGCGAACAATTGATTAAGAAATAATCCATAATTGTTGTTTACTGCGTTCAATGTAATTATTTGTAGTGTAAAGGACGACGTAATTAGAGATGCTAATGAAGCCTAGTAGGTTTTAGACATAATAGGGCGTCGGATCTAGCTCGTGTTTTCCACGTTTTATCTAAGTAAGTATATTAAATAGTCTTAGTTAATTATTATGATTTCTTTGAATAAGGGTAATATGTGAATGAGCAATGTGCAACTCTTATACGAACCTAATTTAGCTAATTCGAATCCCGAACCACTCTATCTAAACGGCAGAAATCGTTCCTACTAGAGTCAGGGGTAATGTAAAATTTACAGAGTAATCGATAAAAACAAAAAATTGTCAGGTGTTACAATTGCAAATCAGTTTTATTGACTGTTCGGCTCAAGCTGTTTCCAGTTTCGCTAGCGACTTAAATGAATAAATTCATGATGTTTTTGCGATTAGGAAGGTTAGGCAGCTAACAGACATCGACACTGCCAGACTTGTTTAATTATTTTCACAGCATCTTATCGTACGGCATTTTGTTGTGGGATTGTGCATCTGACCTAAATTCTATATTTATTCTTCAAAAAAGAGCCGTCCGAGCAGTCTATAAAATCGGAGCCCGGAATACACTCAGAGATCTTTTTAAAGAGATTAATATACTCGCTGTTGCGTCCCAATATATTTATTGTAATATTATGTATGTTAGAAATTATCTTAACTGTTACCTAAAGAATAGTGATAGACATAAATTATATACTAGAAATAAGGACAAATTAATTACGCCATTGTTTCGTCTACAAAAAGGAAATAGATCGTTCATGGGGCAAAGTGTGCTCATGTATAATAAAATCCCACAGTCGATATTAAGTCTGTCATTAGATCGATTTAAACGCAAAATTAAAATTGAACTTATGGCTAAGGCTTATTATATACCATTGCAGATTATCTTGACGACGCCAATGTGTGGAGTTAATACTGTTGATACTCACGTAGGCTAAAGTAAGATTTATACCCATCCTATTATATAGTAAACTAATCGTTTTAAAAAAAGAGCAACTGCTGAGTTTCTTGCCGATTTCTTCTCAACAGAAACTGCTTTCCGAACCGGTGGTAGCTTACTTACGAACGTATTAATTTTTATGTAAAATGTTGACGTTTCATAAGAACGCGCTAGCGTCTATGTGAATAAATATATTTATGATTTTGATTTTGTTGTTGGAGGTCAACGGAGGTACAAAGTAAAAGAAAAAAGGTAACCTCAAGACGATCCAATGCAGACTGGTATGGGTTGTTGGGTTCGCTTAATCTCTTTCTAGAAACTTTGTCCGATCTTTCTAGAACTATGTCCGCGAGGCAGTACTGGTTCCTCAGATCAGGATGGCTTCCGGACCAAGGCGCTTCAATGCATTGGTCGAAATTACCCAGGTGGTAACGGTTGCCGTAAAGAAGAGCTTGTGGTTCCGAAGATATTGAATCCCATTCTAAAACACACTTTGATTTACAACAAACTACAAAAATACTAAATTAAGGAAAACAGAATTTTTGGGTAATTAATTTATTTAGTTTCGCGTCTATATGCATTGGATAGTAAAAAAAAGTAAAATAGATGTATAGTTTCTATTATAACGAACTAAAATTTGAATTGTAAATTATGTTACAGTTGGTTGTAAACAAAAGCAACTACAACTTATTTGGCTATACCCCACGGCGGATGGCATGCTTCACATATGGTCCAATTTTTCGTAAAAGTTTTTTTTATACTTAACGAAAAAGTTTTATTTGAATTTGAGGCATTTATCCAGATGTATCTGTGGAGAAAAATGAAATGAACACGTGACCAAATGGGAGCGAAACCGAACCCAATGCAAAAATAATTTTTGAAATTGGGTGCTAAATGGCGGAGTTAGCTATGAGATAGTCTCCTCCTGATTCGAATTTCATTGAAAATATAGAGTTGAAAAATAGAGAAAGTCATAATTACTTAATTTTTTCTTTTTTGTCTTTACAGGGTGTTAAAGAAAAGAGAATACAAACACAGAAAAGTACGAAGTAATTTTTTGGAGTTTTCTTAGTTTACTGTGTTCGCATGTCTAAAAAAAACAGCCAAATTAGGACATGAAAAAGGTTTTTTTTTTTAATTCATAAAACTGTAGATATTGGAATACACATTCTTCATTCAAGGAGATACGAGAACACTTTGTGGTTTGCGTTTAAACGTTATGAGATTTTTATAAACAATATTATGGTACACACGTATTTATTGAATTTTTTTTTTTAAAAAGTTCTTCGTCTTTTTCTCGCTCAAAGGTTAAGCATGACTGTTCAGCGAGGAAATGCAGCTAGCATTCTTGCCACCATGCCGTGTGGTTTAGGTTTATTAGATAATGTGTGATTTTAGATTGAATTAATGTTGAAAAAGTGTTAGTAGCTAATTTCAACCAACTCACGCCAAACCGCCCACAAAGTGAAATTCTGCAAGTTCTTTAGCATCCGCAGCGTTTGGTTCAAACATGGTTGCTCCTCTACAGTCCAGTTCTGATTGTTCAATGCATACAGCACGTCTTCCAGGTAAATCCCGCGCTTATCCGCAGATACCTGCTTTTCATAATCCAATTTGCTATCGGAATTCCTGGCCTCTAGTAATACCGTCGTGACTTTCGTATCTTTGCCTTCGGAAAGAACATAATTTCGAACGCTGTCTGCTGTCGCGAGGAATAAAAGGAACGCGTACCTCATGATAAATTTTCTATTGCCGTTATTCGTAAACTGAATAAAAGTTGAGAGGAGGCTAGGTTATAAGAGAATGAAGTTGCATAATTAAGTCAGACAATCTGTAAAGCCATCGGCAATTAGCTATTGTATTTATTTTTTGCCTTATAATTTAAGCACATTACAGTTGCAAAAATACGACTGGGTGTATTTTAAATTTTATAACTTATTTTATATGTGGTCTGAATAAAATTAATGCGATAAAACAGTGGCACATTATAATATGTACAAAAAAAGGAGTTGTGTTTTGAGAGGAGAACTCAATTTACTAGTAAAAACTTGGAAGATATTTTGAAATATTCGTCAAAATTTTAAACTTCATTTTCCCCACTACAAGAAGTTTATAAAGTAAATGGGAGGTGCAAAGACACAATGGGCATGAAATGTTTCAGTTTTCTTATATAAAGCTACTTATCCTACAGTTCTTTAACACTAGATTTTCGCCCGCGGCACTGCCCGCATATAATACATTTTATACTTAATAATGTTAAACACATTATTAAGTATAAAATGTATTAAAAGTACCTAAGGAACCCCTCGTGCGCGAGTCCGACTCGCACTTAGCCGATTTTTTTTAACTTACATTCATCATCATTTTACAGGCCACAATATACAGCGTGTCTTTACAATCGCGACAATAAATGAACACACATATAGGGTATAACTTTTTAAAATTGTATTAAACATTTACATTCTTTAAACATCAATATTTACAGAGTTATTAAATTTTCCAAAACAAAGAATATTAGATCACCCTTACGTATAAAACTGTAGTTCATTTGTAAAAGTCACATAGCATATGAATGGGTTGAATGAATTTAAAAGAGACAAAACATACTGTTAGAAGTAGAGGCTTGTAATGCGACGCTGTGGCGCGAATTGTATAGGATGTTACAAATTTTGTTTCTTTTTTCTTAATTAATTTGTTTGGAAAATATTTTTTTTTAATTATGGATTTTGTTTAACGTTAATATTTTTTTCTGATTATTGGCAAGTAGCTTTTGACATGTGTTCATTTATTGTCGCGATGGTAACGACACACTGTATAGCTAACTATAGTTTCATCCAATTCAAATGTAGCTATTAATCACACAAATATTCAAAGTGATTCCTTAAGTTGACATAAGTCTTTCATTTATGAACCGATTTAAATAAAGTTAACACTAAGTGTTACGTGAAGCTTACTAAAATGCATAAGTGAAAGTAACACGCAAATTTAAGGTTAAGCCATTTCTGAAATTAGCTCAAACAAACGCATAGGCAAACAGATAAACAGACAAACAGACAAAAATTTTAACAATCATTGCTTTGGGTTCTAGTGCGTTGATAAAGGCAGTTTAAATAATAGTTTTTTGTCAAATATCTCCCATGTATAGTCAACGTTACATTTTTATTATATTTATTGATGATAAGTCCACAATTTTAAACATTCTATAAAATTTGATAGGGTCTATATCCCTATAAAATTTTCTAGAAGTTTAAAATTTGAAGATTCCATAATCTGTAAGGAGTTTCCTGAGGCTTCATGTAGTTTACATGAATCTTTTATGCTTCTTGGCTCTTTATAGAAATTATGAACACGCCATCTGTCATAACATTATAGAGTTAAATCGGAGGGTTAAATCGGGAGGTAAACTATTTGATAAATCATTATGAAAGATAGATGGTGTTAAAACGTTGTACTCTCGTTTCTTATTCTTCTATGTTATTCCAAACGTTATTAATAATGTATTATGTTATTTTTAAGAAAATTTAAGAGTCTGTTCATATTACATCAAATATTTATGAAAATAATGACAACCTTTTGAAAATTGGGCTCCGGCTACCTCACTCACCAGACGAAACGCGAAAGTATTTCTCATACTTCCACTTTACGCTGGTCTTTTGTGAGGTCGTGATACTTACCCGGACAGGCCTGCCCATTCGTTCAACAGCCGAGGCTGCTGCGTGGCCCTACCACCGTGGAATATATGCGGCAAGTCGCACGGTACGGTAGGTCACTGCTTTAGCTCTTCCCGAAATTGTTCGCGGCGGTGCTCGAACCTATTTTCAGACGCCTAGATTGGGAAGTGGGGGGAATAGAAGTAGATGGAGAACTATGAACAACTTGCGTTTCGCTGACGACATAGTGGTAGCTATATATGATGAAGGAATTAGCAATGGAAAGTCAAAAGTTGGACTGTCAACGACGAAAAACTATTTTAAGCAATAAAAGTCCCGCAGGACATACTAACGATAAAATATGAAAACATTGAATATGTAAAAGAATACATATATTTAGGACAAATATTATTCAAAAATAACACAAGAAAAGAAATAGAAGGAGGGATAACTCCAGCCTGGAGGAAATATTGGGGATTGTGGAACTAATTGCACTAGTGATATTGCATATATGGTCATTGAGAAAAGACGAAGAATGAATCGCTATGTGCCAACGTAAAATAGAAAGAATCATGCTTATTCTAAAGCTATCACATAAGGTCAGCTATATCAACATTAGGAAGAAAACAAAAATAATAGATGTAAGGATAAGAAATATTGAAATGGCATTATCATGGCTCAATGTGACTAACCTAGAGATATGAAAAGGAGAACGGGAGTAGATGGGAGAAGCCTACGCCGAAGAGGCGAATCCTACTCTACTAATAAAAATTACCTATAATTATATAAGACATGTGTCGTAAATAAGTATTTTAACCTTAAGCTTATTTTATTTATTAATACTTAATTGTACACCAAAAAAAAATACATGTATATAAAGCAAATCCTCACTTATCCTTACTAATCCTTACTATCCTTACTAATATTATAAAAGCGCAAGTTTGTATGTATTGATGGATGTTTGTTAGTCTTTCACGCAAATACTACTGAATAGATTTTAATGAAACTTTACAATAATATAGCTTATACACCGGAATAAGACATAGGCTATAATTTGTATACATATTTTATGTATATCTGTCTGAATGTTACGCCTTCAGCGTATTCTACGCAGACGTAGTCGCAGGCAGCAGCTAGTTACAAATGAATGTAAATCGAAGTACAATAGGCTGTTTTATCGCTCAGAAAGCGTTTTCTTCTAGACCACCATTGCGGAAACAATTTTTGCTCATGTGACATAAAGAAGAAAACAAGATTATTTTATATTAAATGTAAAATTAATTTTATTCATATTATTGTAACTGAGCACTACACTAAAAGGCTCTGCTTTATAGTTTTTATTACAATAAGTGTCTCAGGGGGCGAAATTTCACAATACTAACGATATTTAGTCGCTAATTGGTAAAGTCTGCGTACGGCCGACAGTTATTAGGATCGAAGGTTTCGTGATTTCGCGATTTAGGTGTTGAGTAATAGTTTTCCAAATTTGAATTTATCCTGTGCGAAAATTACCGTAAAACATTAACATTAAAACGACCACAGAAAAATCATTGCTGTTGCTGTAATGCGAAAATCATACCATTGCATACATGCAACTGTTTAACATAGGGGGTACCAAGGTCGGCCAAAACTTGACGTACGCCTGTCGAGTTCTTCCTTTTTGTATCGAGGACATGTGCTCCAAAGTTGGCACGGCTTCTGAAACCTCGTCTCCCGGTATTCTTTTATACAAATACTGGTGACTAGTACATCAGATGCTTTAACGGAATTTGAATTAATATGTTGTACGTGGTTCAGACTGCAGTGGGGTTGTAATGCACTGCCAACTATTAAAAAAGTCAGACTTAGTTGTCTTACTTGCTGGATCAAATTTCGGATCAAAATTAGCTTTCTAGGACTCCATAATGATTTAACAAAAATATACAAAGTACATACAAAATCCTGGATTTATTAATACGACCCAGAAATAAAGCGTCAGTCGACATTTTGACTGTTTCAAAACGAACCAACGCTACAAATGAAGCGATCGAGAAGCGTAGGGAAATTATTGATCGCTAGTTTCTTCACTTTGACTGGGCATCTGGTATCAATTCCAACGGTATCAAAGCAGGAACAACGCCGAATGGTATACTAAGAGTGTTTACTGCAATGAGCAACAAGCGACCAAACGCCGGGCTCCGCGGAGTACTGCGTCACCATGACAACGCGCCCGTAATCTCAGCAATCAAAACTATGGACTTCCTGGACAACACAACGTTCAAATTCTTGGGTCAGCTTCCTTACAGTCCTGATCTGGCACCGTGTGACCTCTTGTTATTCCCTAAAATAAAATAAAAATACTGAAAGGGTTACACAATAATTTCGTGTATTTACGCAATTACACATTACTAAAAGAAACTATGTTTACGGATTTAAAATGACACTCAGACGTCCAACGCCTCAGTCTGTCCCGTGACCATGACAGCTGTAAAGGGTTCGAAGCTTCGAAAATTAAAACAAAAAATAAATGCGATAAATCCGTAAACATAGTTTCATTTAGTGAAAGGGATAAAGGTTTCATCGTCGGAAGACGCGCTAACAGCGTTTATAAGGCCGTGGTGAGGTGTCTGCGGCGGACTGGAAAAGGTCCTTCGAAAATGGAAAATTGGTTCAGAGGCATGAAACTTTGTATAACTATTTCTTAGTAAGTGGTGGAGAATTATTTGAAAAGATTTAATGAGAAGTTTTTTCAGCTTTCCGAGTGTCCCACATACACGGCCCCATTTTGGATTGGCTGATTTCACAAATTTTCGATTTATTTTTAAATTACTTCGAACATGTACAATATTCCACTTCACGATCAGGACTTGATAATTCTAAATTTAAAATTGAAACTAACAGATACATTGTGTCCTGGCACCAGTACCGAGGTTTGACCAAAAAGCTTCTAAAGCAACAAAAGTTGTACTTCATAAGTTCTTCTTATGTTGAAAACATATAATAATAAAACAAATTGGTAAGTATGAATTCTTTATTAGAACTTTAATCGTAAATAATGAAATCTATTCTATTTCTAATACATATATACATTTCATTATATTATTCGC